TTTCTATAAATTACTTGATGAAAATCTTGATAAGGTTGGCAAAGTTATGGATAGTTCTTCCTACAAAAGTGCATAACCAAGTATGAGCTCAAACTTTAACAATAGTGGGGAAGTCCTAGCAGAGAAGTGCATTAAAAGCTTGTTGTATATGCATGATAATCCAATAGTAGCTAATATGCCAGTAAGGATTACAAGACTCATCATAAGAATCAATAACAAATAACTTAAACTCTGCTGGATTAGGATGTCAGAGAGTGATATCAACCAAACCTAAGGTCACAAACCATAAATTATAAGGTTAATAAAAATAAAAAAAACAGACCTAAGGTCTCATATAATATTTTGACACATATAATGAAGGTTTGAGTTTGGGTCAAGCATATTCATATTGGGTTAACTTCGGGATAGGCCTAAACTTGTCTTGTCAACTTGAATTGGCACCCTTGCACAACAATTGAGTAACACTTGAAGGATAAGTTGAACTACTAATTTCAAGGAGATTTGGGTTAGGTTATCAAGGAGGAGAAACTTCATCATGTTGAGATAAACCTATCTATTAGTTTTGTGTGGAATATGATTATGTCAATCAATTGAAATGTACTACTACCTTTGTACTTTATTTCCATTGGTTGAACTCATTGGGGGGTTGCAAAGGGTCCTCCCTTGCAAAGATTTTTTTTTGTACTACCATACAATATTGTTGCGCTGTGTATGTGAGCACTACGACATTTGTATACTTTGATTGAAGATAGATAGAGAGAGAAGCATTGTGATGCTATAAATCCTGGCACTTCGATGCTACCATGGGGCATTATAGTGTTACCATGGAGCATTGGCGCACTACGATGGAGCACTTCCGCTGTTTAGACCCTGTTGCTGCGACGTTGTCAGACAGACATAAGTTAGAGAGTGGAATACCACAACACTCAAAACTTGGCGTTGCGATGTTGCGAGGTGGATTAGCATTTTTTAACTCATTTTTCACCAAGGGTTGCATCCCTTAATGGTTATATTGCATCTCTTTGTTAGTTTTATTATTATAATGGCGTAAGAGGGAAGAGATGCATGGAGAGAGTGAGAAAGTAAGAGATATGCACAAATATCTCCAAATTTTTATAGTGAATTCATTGGTGTAGTGTGTTTCCTTGGTTTTTTCTCGAGTTTGGGCATTTCCACATTAAATCCTTGTGTTCTTTTTTTCTCTATATTTGTTCTTTCTTGTTTTTATTTGCCACCTGGTTTACTTCCCCAACACTAACACTGTCTGTCTGACATTATCTTATAAAAGCTAAAGGATTTAAGCTTGATGTTACTCCAACTTACAAAGTCGATCCTCTATAGTTAGACTTGGGTTACATTCATTTGTTATATTATATTGTCCTTGATTAGATGATTAGTTGTCTTCCTTCAAAGAAATATTTATAAAGCTTGGGATGATGTGGATTTTCCCATAAACAATGCCAAGTTATTCATATTAGAATTTTTATGATAGCAGAGAGAGTTTAATGTCATAATTTTGAATAAAGAACTAGCACACACATAGATAAAATACAAATTTATAAAAAAACACATGATTCTTATGTGGAAAATTAAAAATGCAAAACAAAAAAAAATCTTGAAGCTTGTCTTCATTGAAATGATCCATTATGTAAGTAACAATATAAAAATTTTCCCTTTTGCTTAATTGGAGAAGATGGATTAAGAGATTGGGAATAATAGCTTGTTCTCTTGTGGTTGTCGTAAGGATTGCTAGAAAAGTCGTGGAGCGTGATGATAACCAAGAGATGTTGGTGGGGATGACAGTCTCACAACAATCATTAGATAGGACTCTAAAGTTTCTCAAATCTCTAAGCTTTTTCTAAATTTAGTTCAAGATTTGGTTCCCCTTTTTGTGAAAAATGAGGCTATATTTATAATTTTTTGGAGTGATATTTTATGGCACAAAATGTTGGTCATTAAAAGAAAAGTATAGAATTAAGTTAAGTATTGTAGAGATGACGATGCTTAAGTGGATGAGTAGTTTTACGCTTATAGACAAAATGTGAAACCATTATAACCATGAAAAGGTTGGAGTAGCTCTAGTAGCATATAAGAATAGAGAGAGTTGCCTTAGATGGTTTGGTCACATAAAATGTTGTCCTTCAGATGACCTTGTTATGATAGTAGATGCATTAGATATGCCCTATGTTAAGAAAGTTAGAGGTAAACCTAAAAAAACTTGGTTAGAAAGCATTAAACTTGACATTTTTCAATAGGTTTAAATGGGAATTTGACTCTTAATATGACACAATGGAGAAAAAATATTCATGTGACCAATCCCACATTTTGGGATATAGCCTTGTTGTGGCTGTTGTTGTTTTGGGAGTGGCATTTTGATTACTTTAGCTAAAATATCCAAAACACTCCATTAGATAACTTATATTGATTCCCTTAGTCCTAAATTATTTTTATATCATTTAAATATCTTAATGACATCAGAATTGAATGATCTTAAACTTGTTGGATTCCTCTTAATTAGGTGTTTGATTTGACTAGAAGCATATAAGATTCAAAGTTTAATTGGTCCTTTACTTAATATTATGAAGTTTTATCATGCATCCAGTGTTTGGTTTGGACTAATTTGGACTTAGATAAAAAAAACTTATAATAATTTTGGGGTTGCCTAGACAAAATATTTAGTTTGACTATAAATTTGCAAAATATTTAGTTTGACTATAAATTTGCTAAGTCAGAGCTTAGGTGTTCCTAAGATTTATGCTTGATCAAAATTTTTCGATGATGTATCATGTCTATCTTACATTATGCCAAACCATTTGAAGTGTTCTCCCATTTGAGTAAATCATTTGAATATAGAATTGACATTATAACCCCTTTTGTGTTGAATTTGAGGAGTTCGAATAAACATATATATGGTGTCCCCAAGAGTGCCTAGGACGATTGAGTGATAAGGCACCTAACTATAACTAAAATTCTTTAAAATGGCTAGGAATAACCAAGGTCTTAAAATCTAATGAAACATAAAGTATTTAATTGGACATGAGCTACCGAAATAAAATAACTCCATTTCACACAAAATTTATGCACCTAACACTGACCCAAACACAATGAATAAGAAAAATGCACAATGTAAAACATGGTAGTCTGACATCACAAATCACAATCTTCACTGCTTGGAACACTCATAATTAATTTTGTATATGTTGTTCACCATCAATACACCAATGGTGTGAAAGGGTGGAGCTCTATGAAAGTGACACAAGGCATCAATTGATTAACCAATAGCTTATCTGCCCCACCTCCTCCCCCATTCCCTTTGCTACCTCCTCCCAAATCTTTTTCACCAACACAACCAAGCTTTCCTTTACAATTTTTTTTTTAATTTGATCTCCCATTAAATGCCCTAAATCTCCATTAGAATGTTTTTTTAGACATGTTTAATGCGGTGCCTCATCATGTTATTGGGACTACTGAATTTGGTGGGAATGACGCCTCTGGTCTCTTGACTACCCTTGCTTTCTTAATTGGAAGGGCCAACTGTTTTTTGTTGTGAGTTCTTATGTTTACTTGAGGATGGACTCTTCAATAGTAATTTATGTTTGTACTTTAGTAGAGGACTCACACACACAAGCGAGAAGTGGAAAAATCCAGGGTGAAGACCTCAAAGGAAAAAATATCTTGCAGCAGCTTAGGATTTACTTTTAAAGTTTTATGAGCTTCCAAAAATTTATTTTTGAAGTATTCCTCAAGATTCTCATCCTCATTTTTTAATGAATACTAGAGAGATGAGATAAGTCTATGATAGTCCTTTGATTTGAAACAAATTGCTCATAAAATTTTTTGAGGAGGTTGGCAAAGTTATGGACAATCTTTTCAAAAAGAGATTATAATCTAGTAAGAGCTTGAAATTATAAGTTGTGCGTTATAACTAGTAGAAAAGTGCATCAGAAGCTTATTTGATATACATGATGGTCATATAATAATCAATATGCTCATAAGAATCAGATTACCCATCATAAGAATTACAATTATGCAACTCAAACCCTACTGGAATGGGGTGCTAAGGAATTGAATCAATTAGAGATAAGTTGATTTCTATGAGTCAACGATACTTTCTCAAAATATATTGCAGTTTATCCTTTATGACATCATAGGGGGTGTTAACAAGGCAAGGTTTGGACTAGTCCACCAATATTGTTAGGGCATTACATGGCTAAGTATTGTCAATAAATGATCAAACATAATAAACCCACTCGAACTTGACTAAAAAAATTAGGTTCAAGTTAACCCTATACTACTTGTTACTAATTTGGGTCCAAATTATAAACACGTTCATTATTTGGGTTAGGTTTAGTTTAACTCAAGTAAATCAAAATTAACTCAAACAATTTATTTTTTTTTCATTTTTTTCGGGTTCACCCAAAACTCAAAATTAGCTTGACTACTGTTCAATTTCATGCTAAATAGTTCGGGTCCATGTTAAACAACTCATATTCAAATTATTAGGTCGTATTGATCCAAAACAATTGCATGATTTATATAATAAATTAGTTAAATGGATCAGATTGGACTTACGGGTTCAGGTTGAGCCGAATTTGAATCAAATATTTTGACACATATAATAATCAGATGAAATTTGTGTTAACTTTAAATTAAATCGGCTCACCAATCCAAATCGACAACCTAGGCTAAACAACCAAGATAGCCTATTTCACGCCCAATTCATGCCAATTCATGCATCCAATAGTGTTCCAAACGCAACAAACCAGAAAGGACTGTAGTTTTTTTTTTTTTTTGAAAGAAAGAAGCCCTGTAGTTGGGAGAAATTATTAGGTACGGAGTGCGGACGGGAGAACCGTCTGCACACTAGTATAAAACAGTGTTCGATACCGTTCGGTACCACTCGGTACCGCTGGGTACCGCTCGGTACTCTGTGTCTGTGCCCGTCTGCACTCCGCACCTAATAATTTTTCCTGTAGTCGGACCTCACCAATCACAACCCTCGCTGCACGGAGCACGTATAATTAGAGCTGTGGCCGTTGTTCGCAATTAAGAAACGGCGGAAAGGCGAGGCTCTATAGCAGGGCAGGGACACAAGACATCGACTGATTGATTACCTGAGGGATTATCCACCACACCTCGTCGACGTACCCTTGGCGGCCTCCTCCTAAATCCCTACCGTCGAAGCCGCCGACAGGCTGGCCTTCGCCGATTTTTTTCGTCGGATATCACACTAAAAACCCTAGATCGAATTAATTACTGTCTCCCTGCTGTCCTCGCACGACAATCGCTGCAGAAATCTTCCATAACCTAGGATGTTTTTCCATATAGGCGCCTGAAGATCCTCTTAGCGGCTTTTGGGATTTAGGGAGATGAGCCGGCGAGTGAGGAGGCGAGGCTCGCAGTCAAAAGACAAAGATAAGGTCATTATATCCTCTCCGGTGTACCCGGAGACGGCGGAGGAGTACGATATATGCCGTCCCGGTGGTGAAATTGCAGGTGGTCACGACGTGGAGTGGACTCGCCTCCCCGATGACACCGTGGTTCAGCTCTTCTCTTGCCTCAGTTACCGAGACCGAGCCTGCCTCTCTTCTACCTGCCGCACCTGGCGCCTCCTTGGTTCCTCTCCATGCCTTTGGAATTCTCTTGACCTCCGCGCTCATCGCTGCGACGCGGATACCGCGACCGCACTAGCCTCGCGCTGCGCTAGCCTCCGCCGTCTACGATTCCGGGGATCGGAGTCGGCTGCTGCCATTATAAACCTTCACGCTCGTGACTTAAGAGAGATCGCCGGAGATTACTGCCGTGACATCACTGACGCGACGCTATCAGTGATTGCTGCTCGACATGAGGCGCTTGAAAGCCTCCAGATTGGCCCTGATCCTTGTGAAAAGATTAGCAGTGATGCAATCCGGCATGTGGCCATGTGTTGCTCGAGATTGAGAAGGTTGCGCCTTTCGGGCATCCGAGAGATTGATGGCCTCGCCATTGGCGCCTTGGCGAGGCATTGCTCCCGGCTGGAGGAGATTGCATTTCTTGATTGTGGGAACATTGATGAGACCGCCCTTGGCAAGGTAGAATGCCTAAAGTTTTTGTCAGTTGCAGGTTCCCGGAGTTTGAAGTGGGCATCAGCTGTCACTTACTGGAGCAAGCTACCAAACCTTGTTGGATTGGATGTTTCTAGGACTGATATTCCTCCGAGTGCTCTATTTAGAATTCTCTCTTCTTCTAAGAATTTGAAGGTTTTGTGCGCTCTCAACTGTTTGGCATTAGAAGAGGAAGCCAATCATAACCCGCTGGGCTCTAGCCATGCCAAGGGCAAGATACTTCTCACCCTCTTCACTGACATTTCCAAGAGGATTACTTCTTTATTCTCTAGCTCTGTAGGAAAGGAAACTGAGATCTCTTGGAATTGGAGTTCTCAGGGAAACAATGACAAGAGCCTGAATGAAATCATAAGCTGGGTCGAGTGGATACTGTCACAGTCATTGCTTCGCATAGCAGAGATGAATCCAGTTGGCATGGATGATTTTTGGTTGAGGCAAGGTGCTTCATTGCTGTTGAGTTTGGTGAAGAGTTCTCAGGAGGATGTGCAAGAGAGAGCAGCAGCTGGGCTTGCTACATTTGTGGTGATTGATGATGAGAATGCAACAGTGGATCCATCAAGGGCAGAGGCAGTCATGAAAAATGGGGGCATTCCGTTGCTTTTGGAACTTGCTAGATCATGCAGGGAAGGTGTACAGTCTGAAGCTGCAAAGGTGTGGTTTAGCATTGATTTTGTTCACTTCTATATTGATAGAGAGCTTTTTTTTTTTACTTGGGTGTGATATTTATTACCTTGGGTTTTACAGGCGATTGCTAACTTGTCAGTTAATGCTAAAGTTGCAAAAGCAGTTGCTGACGAAGGTGGTATCAGTATACTCGCTGTCCTAGCAAGGTCCACAAATAGGCTGGTTGCAGAAGAGGCTGCTGGAGGGCTTTGGAATCTTTCGGTTGGAGAAGAGCACAAGGTTTACATGCTGGAGGATGTTTAACTGTGTTGAATTTTTGCTAAATTTTATGGCTGATTGATCCTAGAAGTTTTAGAAGTTGTTACATTTTTCAGACTGCCATTGCTGAAGCTGGTGGTGTTAAAGCTCTGGTAGATCTCATCTTCAAATGGCCAACTGGGATAGATGGAGTCCTTGTATGTATGCTATAATTTTTCTTAATAGGCTCTTTGAGATTTTGATACTAAATATATGTATAATATGTGCACAATACATGTATTTAATATCTGATTTGATTTCATTCTATATGATTATACTTAAGGAGCGAGCTGCTGGTGCACTTGCAAATCTAGCTGCGGATGACCAGTGTAGCATGGAGGTGGCAATGGCAGGTGGTGTGCATGCTTTGGTGATGCTGGCAAGATCTTGCAGGGTTGAAGGAGTGCAAGAACAGGTTTCACGAACAAATCATTGCAAACTTTTCCCCCTCTTTGGTGATCCAATGCATTTGTACTATAGTTGCGTTATTTATGAAAGTAACAGCAGGATGCGTTTTATGATAAGCTCAATACTAGTTTTATCTCTGTTGATCATGGTTAATCTTTTTTTTGCTATTCTTGTTAGATGCTGTTCTTTAATGTGTTCTTATTCAATGGCATAGGCATCACCACACTGCATTCAAATAATCATTCCATGGTAGACAAGTTACAGGATCTTCCAATTTGTCAGCTAGTACAATGTTTCACACTTCAATTTGAAGCATTATACCAATTTTGTTATATGATACTTAATTTGTGGCGTAAGGAAAAGACTATTTGATGGGGTAATTTGGTTTATATTATTTGCAAGGTGATTTGATATTTTTCATGAATAAATTTAGAAGCTTATATGGTTTATGTAAGGTTCTTTGTTAGGATACCTAATTAATTACTATTTAGGAGCATATATTTGGTCTGTCATATATTTAAGTTGGGATGTACATATGTAATGTTTGCAAATAAGATGATTAGACACAACGAGTTTAGCTAATTAAGTCTATTTGCTATCTAATTTTAATCTTTCAAACTTATGTATAAACTTATTGCTGAGTTTGCTTGTTTGAGCTAATTTCTTTTGGAGTGTAATTAGTATTGTTTCCTTCATTGGAAAATCTATTGGGACGCTCTTTCAGTAACTTGGTGAATGTTGAATATTCTTTCAATTACAGGCTGCCCGAGCCTTAGCTAATTTGGCTGCTCATGGGGATAGCAATAGCAACAATGCTGCAGTCGGTCAAGAGGCAGGTGCTCTCGATGCACTAGTGCAACTGACTTGTTCTCCTAACGAAGGTGTTAGGTAATGTTTTTCTCATACTTATGAGTTTACATGTCCCAGTTGTGTACATGTTGAATCGTAGTATTGTCTGCATTCCCCTGCTCAGTAAACCCCATGTGAGCTGCGTGTAATGTATGATTTGCAGAACTACAATTGTCTTCTTCATATGTGCATTTGTAGCCGAAGAAAATGGGCTGCATATGTTATGTGAACGTTTTTTTCCATAAAAATTGGGCTGCAGGTTGCACTGCATGTTTATTTATTTGTATTTTTATGGTTGAGGTTCCATCATTCAATGAATTTAGCCAGATGTTTGTTTTGAATTACTTTTTCATTTCTTAACTAATTACCTCCACTCTTCACTTAATTAAAGGCAAGAAGCTGCTGGTGCTCTGTGGAACTTATCTTTTGATGATAGAAATCGAGAGGCAATTGCTGCGGCTGGGGGTGTTGAAGCGCTGGTATGTACTTTACTAAGCCCACTCTCTGTTTGTGGTGGTTATTTGAGAATCAGAGTAAAATGTTGTGCACAACGAAAAAAAGAGAGTGACCATGGACAACTTACTGGCGTTTCACTATTATCTTGCTACTGCTGCACATTTTTCTTACAATTACTGCTTTGCATTCTCACTTAACTTTTATGGAATTAGGATTAAGGGAATAAGAGAAATCGCCTCTTTCTAAATGCCATGTACTTGCACCCATATTTTCCATCTCGTATCATTTGTTTGTTGGCGGGTTTGAAAGATGATGTGACAATTCAAGTAATTGAATCCAAGTTCGTGTGAGTTGGATAGATCTAGCTTAAATATACCTACTAAAGGGAAACTAAGTAATTATGAGCGAGCGGGAAGTTGTCGTTTGGTTGTTGAGGGCTTGATCTGTTGATGCTTGGCATAACATGGTAGAAATTTACATGATATTTGACAGCTGGAAATCCATATTAATGATGAAAGACTATTTGGTTTTTTTATGGTTCAAATTATGACATGTAGGAAATATTTTCAAAGCTTATAAAGAATAATAATATTATGTTTTTTTTTTTTTTTAATTTTAGGAAAGGTTTGAAGTGCCCTATCAAATATATTGTTTTATGATGGTATTTTAGTTTTGCCGTTTGATGGTTAATGGATTGATTTTGGTTGAGACCTATTTGAAATTAGTGGTTGTCAATTTGGATCAATGTTGATGATTGCATGCAAGTTTTGGAGAAATTCAATTGATACTATCAAATCTTGTTGAAGAGGTCAAAATTTAATTGAAATAATTGAAACTCTATTGAAGCTCTGCAAAAATTGCCATATTCGATTGGAATTGGAAACCTAATTGAATTTTCAAGGCTCGATTGAAATTGCTAAATTTGACCAAAACTTAGGGATGCCAATATATGACCTGAGGGTCTTGATTGAATGTTATGTTTGGTGCTATTATCATATCAAGATCATAATTTTGTAGGATCATGTTAAGCATCCGTGTCTTTAAGGTGCCAGTGTTACTTTTTTAATAAAGTTGGAGATGCCATTGTCGTATCGAAAATTAGAGTCTCATTTTTTTTTTAAATTTGAACTTGTGACAAGTTTTGTGGTTGTGCTATTTATATTTTTACCTTCATTTCATTTATTTCCATAAGTGTTATTTAGATGCATAGCTTCTGCAATTTCTATCAGAAATAGGTTTGCATGTTGTGACTATGCTCAATTTTTTTTTGGTGTGCTTATGTCATAATTTACAAACATACAATCAAGACTACAATTGTAGTTAGGTTTGAAAATGTTCTTGACCATACAAATGAACTTCATCAAAAACAATATTACTGTTGGTCTTGATCATCCTACGGTGCTATGATGATGTTTTAGTCATTTCATGTTTATATTTGTAGTTTCATTCTCATTAATATCATGGGCTCACTTCATGTTCTTAGGAGTTGTGGTAAAACTAGGATAATTTTCTTAGGTCTTTTGGTGGAAACTAAGCATGCAAAGATGCTTATAATGCAACAGTGATCATTGAATAATGTATAAATGAATGTTGAATGATGAATTGATGAAATTGATCTCTTCTCATCCCAATTCTTTGCCTCTCTCTCTATCTCTCTCTCTCTCTCACACACACACACACACACACACATATTCTGTCTCTCTCTCTCCCTCTCCTTACTTCCCTCTTACATGACTAGTTGTGCCCCTTCTTTTCTAATCCTAACCACCACCATTCCTCCATTCTTCATCAGTCCTTCATAACCTTATTATTCCCAATCTCCTCCCTCCTTCCCATTCTCCCTCCACCTTAATCATCAAGGCACATTTCTCTACATCCAATCCAAAGCCAGCTTGCTTCTACAAGGATAGTCTCCATAGTCATTGGAAGCTTAAGAATAAGAGAAAGAATCAGTAAGTTTAGCTCACTGTTGCTTCAACAACTACGCTATCATATGAATCAAAGCAAAGTTGTTTCATTCTCACAGGTTTCCTTTCTCTATTTACCCCTTCCTTCAACTTAAAATGTTATAGGTTAAATCTATTTTATGTTGTGATGTTTTTGCATTTTAGATGGTGATTAATACATTTTAATAGGAGCTTTCTTGAACTGAGCATTCGAATCCTGCTAAAACTAACACTGAACCCTACTGAAAGCTCCCATTTCCTTTCCAAATTTCACTGCATTTGTTGAGAGTGCTGCTACATTGCAAGTTATCCCTCTGCACATACAAAATTTCTTTCACATCTTATGTGTTTTTTGAAAATTCTAAATAAAATATAAATTGTTTAATACATTTATTCTGTTGTTCCTATGGGCTATTCTCAGCATGTTCCTCGTATTTCGGTCCATATCTACTTGTTGAAAATGTACTACTTAAATCGTTGAAAACATTCCTTTTTTCAAATTTTTAGCTACTAAAGCCCCCCTTTGCTGCACTCCCATAGAATTTTGCAATATTTGTTGACATTTGCTTTCACCACTCTTTGTTTTTTCAAGAGTAATACCCCTTCCCTCTCCTCTCCAAAAGTGCCTTATGATGAATAAGATGGTTTTTTTTTCACTTTATGTTATGTCAACATGCATGATAAGCACATCATTGTGAGTATTATTCCTATTGTTATCACTCCTTTCATTGTGCTATAAGTGATTGACATGTAAGATCATCATTTATGAATTGAATGTTATATGTTTGAAAGTTATTAGGACAATATAAGCATGTTATGCATGACTATGATGTGTGATTAGAACCAACTTCTCAAGCACCATCATTCAAATTCATCAAGATACCATACATTATATTATGCCCATTCACATGTTTTGTTTTTCGTGGAGTCTGTGTATGGGAGTTATTGTTTTTTTTTTTACTTCAAAAAAGGTTTAGAATAGAAGTGCTAGTCTATTCAATTCATGTCTCTACCGCTGATGTTATTTTTTATCGCTCTTCTCAAATGAGGATGACAACATATATTGCGTTTATCTTTTTTTTTTTTGGTTTGGTTTAGCATCATGCTGTGTCGAACTATTGCTTCCCAATTTCATATGAAAATCTACAATTTTTGGTGGGACTTTATTTAAATGTTTTTTTATTTCTTTCTTTTGTTTGAGAGATTATCTTACACTTGCTTAATATGAATGCCATATTGAATCTTTTTTTTATTTAATGCCTCTAGAAAAATATAGTCTCGACATCATGGCTTTTCTACATGCTCTATTCTAATTAGAAAACATGGTGGAGTATGTAGTCTTCTCATCATTTCAAAGAAGCCTAAATGCTTATGACATTTGAGTGAAACATACAAAGGGAACCACTTTGCTTTATTAATCGAGATAATGGAACCATATCTTTCATCATCTTCCTTGTTTTAAGGTTTGAGCTATTCATTTTCTTTTGTTTGGAGTGTTGTATTGCATTGTAGTTTTCACGACTCTTTTCATGTCAACCACAATGGAGTTTATAGTTGTTGCTAAGGTTGAGTTTGATTGGGTGAGAGGTATTTTTAAAGCCCCTGAGATGTTCGCATTCAGGGCCTCATCTTCTTAGGAGCACCCCTATACTTTCCCTCAGGAAGTGATTTATTCTTTGTGGATCAATTAAATGTGGTTCAACCCTTCATCGTACCCTCATTATAACTGCTTTCCTAAATTAGTTGTCATTAATACCAACATTGATTACCCCAAATTTGATTGCATAGTTATCTATAAAGTAAAAGCTCAAAATAGCCCCCCGACTATCAATAAATGTCCAATTTAGTCCATAGTTTTGCATTGCCCCATTTTAGTCCCTTGACTATTTAAAATTGACCCAATATTGTCCTAGAGCTTAAAGTAGTTAAAATTAACTCCAAAAGTTAAATAGGAGAGGTATTTTAGATATTATAAATGGATGTTGAGATAAAATTGCTGACTTGGCTTATTGGAATTAAATTAAAGAAAAAGTAAAATAAATAAATATATAAATTAAAGAGGGGGAAAGGGAGCACGTCGACAAGTCGTTAAAATCAAACGTGCACGTCATCGAGGGAATGACTTGTATAAAACAATGAAAAAACAAAAAAATTGAAGGCACGCTTACTTACACTTGTCGGTTGCTTGCCCAAGCTCTCCCCCTCGATCATGCCTCCCTGTATTATTCATCTTGCACAAAATGAATAGCGCTGCTGTCTCCGCTTCACATTGGTGACTTGCCTGCAGCTTACATCGCCAGCACAAACCCAATACACGCAAGCTCCGACTGCGTTTGTGTCGGATCCGGTGCACGAGAGCCCCTCAGACCGCTCATCGCCGTTTGTGCCCAACCCAGCACTTCCGAACCCCTGCTTCTGTCTGACCTCCCGTACATTTACGCGTGACCGTTCTCCACCACTCGTCACGTACAACATGCAAGAACTTCCGCTCTGCCTCCTAGGTCGTTCATTTCTCCTACGCAGAAAGGTCTCCAGGCGTCTAGCAGAATGCGTGCACGACATATAGATGGAAGCATCGAGCAGGTATTTTTACTTAAATGCCCCCAAGAAACAAACTTCTTTGGCTCTCTCTCCCATTAATTTAAATGGCCAGGGACCAAATTTGCTCAATTTCTAATAGTCAAGGGATTAAAGTAGGGCAATTCAAAATTTTGGGACTAAATTGTATGTTTATTAATAATCGGGGGACTATTTTGAGCTTTTACTTATTATCTACATATATTGACTTGTTGAGCTGAAAGACATTCTTTGGTTTGTTGGCCTACTTTTTTGACCTAGAAAGATATAATAGTTTGTTTTCTTTTCGATTTCTTGTTAGAATGAAGTGAGGGTAATGGCCTTCTTCAATAAAGGGAGATATGTTGTCTTTGTCAATGCTATTGGTAAAATGCCATTTTTGATTTTATAGGTCCTTTAATGAGAAACTTTATTAGCTTGGCATCAATACCTCAGAGAAGTTGATGGCTATTGTATCAATCATTTTAGATGCCCCATAACTCAATCAAATTGTGAGTTGGTAAGTTACCCTTTGTTTTATTTATTTATTTTTGAACTAGATTTGATTTTTTATTTCATTGATCTTCTTTGGAATCCTCTTTCATAGATGAGCATAGTGGGAAGAAGTCTTCCTTGGTCCCAAAATTTAAGAAGGATGGTTTGGTGTTTCTGTTTGCCATTGAGCTAGCTCAGGATTTTAGGCATGTTGGTCGTTCTCAATCGGACATTAATTTGGTATTAATTTGGGACGAAGCAAGGACTAAGGAGACCAGCAAGAGTTTGCACACCTTTTTTCTATTAACACCATATGGGATAACTATTTATAGAGATTGGCATAAGCATTAACTCTAGAGAGGATTGTGAAATACCTTCAAAATAAAAGGTAGAGAATAGTAGTCTCTTTGTCATGCATTATGTAGCCTTGAGCTGTCAAGCTAGTCGTTTACTTGCAAGATCTGATTATTAATCAATGGGTTTATATCTGTCATTAAGGCTAGATGACTTTCTTGTAAGAGGAGTTGAAGATGACTTCGAATATGTTTGAGTCAACTAAATTTCGTATTAAGTTGGGATGTGGAGAGAACCAAGGAGACAATCAAGAGTCTGCATGACTTGTTTTTTTGGCAAACACCATTTTGGAGAACTTTAGATGGATATTGACATGAACATTCACTCTAAGGCCTGTGAGATACTATTATTAAAGTCTCTTTTTCATTGACCTTGAGCTACAAAGCTAGTCCTTTACTTTCACTAAAGTTTAATGATCAATCAATGGGTTTAAATCTATCATCAAGACATAATTGTTCCTTGTCAGAAGAGTTGAAGATGATTTTGGATAGGATTGACTCTGCAATTTGGTATTAAATTAGGATGCAAAAAGAACTAAGGATATCATTAAGAGTTTGCGTTACTTTTTTTTTTTTTGTAACAATAGTTTGAGAGAGCTTACATCAAGGATCAGCCTTAAGTCCATATCTTTTTGCTTTAGTCATAGATGTTCTCACTAGATATTTGCAAGAGGATGTACCTTGGTGTATGTTTTTTTGCTGATGATGTTCTTCTTTTTGATAAGACTAGAGAGGGAGTTGAAGGTAAACTTGAATTATGGAGGTCAACCTTAGAGTCTAAAGGTTTTCGCTTGAGTAGATCTAAAGCGGAATATATGGAGTGTAATTTTAGTAGTAATAGACCTAGTGAGGGGATTATGACTTTGGGCGATCAAGTCATTAATAAGCTATAATGCACAGAAACGGTCACGATGACACGAACACGACACAAGCACAGACATGGGACACGTTAGTTATTGAAAATATAGGACACAGACATGGGTTAGACATGGTATTATAGTTTTTATATTTAAAAAATAGTGTATAAAAATTAAATAAGTATAATTTTAAAAATAATTTAAAAATAATAAGTCATTTAACTAGAATTTGTGCTTAAAATGATTAGTATTAGGATGTCGAGAGTTAGACATCAATGTCGTTTATCAGTCATTGGGAGAGGAGATGAAAAAAATACCTTCACTGTAAAAAAAAAATGAAAATGAGAATATTCGATGATTGGGTATTAAGTGTGGACATTGATTTGTTGTTGTGGAATAGAAAATAAGAAATTTAGTTTAAATCTCATCAAATACAAGAAATTATATTTAAAAAAATTCATAAAATATTTAAGATAAGCGTGTCGGACACTCCTGTCCAATTTGTATTTTATATTTTTTAATCGGACACGTTTCGACATGTCCGATATGTGTCGGACGAGTGTCGTGTCGGACGAGTGTCATGTCAGATACGGTGTCGAACACTGCACGCCTCTTTGAGGAGAAGTGTCGGTGCATCATAATTAATAAGAGTACACGTTTTAAATATCTTGGATCTATTGTTCAAAGTGATGGTGAAATAGATGGGGGATATTATCAGCAGAATTCAAGTTGGATGGTTGAAGCGGAGGAATGCATCGGGCTTGTTGTGTGATAGAAAAGTACCCCTCAAACTTAAGGGAAAATTCTATAAGACTGTGGTGAGGCTTGCAATGCTTTATGGTGTCGAATGTTGGCCATTAAAAGAGACGCATAATACTAAGTTAAGTGTTGCGAGAAGTAAAAGATGCAACGAAACAAACAAGAAATAGAAAATGCAGTGGAAAAGAAAGAACACCGGGATTTAACGTGGAAAAACTTGAAATTGAAAAAAAAAAACACGGGTATCACATCACACCAAGCAATTCACTATGAAAATTGGGAGATAGTACAAATCTTTTTTCTCTCTCACTATCTCCTTGTATCTCTTCTCTTTTGCATCATTCTTGCACAAGAACAAACAAAGAGATGCACAACAACAACCAAGGAACGCATCTCTTAATGAAAAACGAAAAAGAAAACTACTATGTCCATCTCGCTGCGCTTTGGCGTTTAATTCTTTGTTTCTTGTTTGGATGACATTGTCATAGTGCCGGAGTTTGGAGCGACGCAACGTCGACGTTTTAAGCACCACAGTCCTCTGCTCTGCCTTTTCCCACCAAACTGTAGTAGTGTCGGGGCGCTTGGGTATACAGAGCCTAGGCGCACCTGAACTCAAGTAGGGGGAGAACCTCCTACAAAACCTCAGCGAGCTTGACAGACTGAATTGAGTTGTGAAGAAGTAGTACAACCCGATTGATCTATATAATCAGATTCCACGCAAAACTAACATGTTTATTATGCTATTAACTAATCTTGATATTATACCCTACATTTAAAATATATTATGATTCAAATTTTACGCTAATGATATCAAATATGATGTAGCACTTCTTATACTATGTATTTTTTTGACACAGATCTATTAGGGGATGCATAAATGCATGCATCTTGCTTTCAAAACTTAATGGGTCACAAATTCTTAATTTAAACAAATGTTCATCACTTTCGATGATAATTGAAAATTCGATGAAAATTGATTCAAGTGAAAATTTAATGACTTTTTCACTAGATATAATGAATATAAATCCAGAATCATGGAGGCCACACAAGTTTAAATTCACTCTTGTGGAAAATAAGATTGCATTGAATTTGAGTAAAAATTCTATCATAGCATTAAACAACCATGAGAATCATAAACATAAAATATTGGAAGAAAATTTAAAAAAAATCGTGATTGTGCGGGTCTTCCCAAAAGACCAGCCACAATAGTCACAATACATAATCCTGTATCTGATCACCTTAGAAGGTGAATAAAAGTCATGACTCTGCATTCGATCACAATAGATGAAGGAAAGGAGCACAGAGCCCTTGATCACAACAAAGAAGTGGAAAAGTACAAGTAGTTTCACTCCAATTCACAACGAAAGATAAAATAGTTGAGAACCATAAATTCTGTGTTTACAGGTGGAGGTGAGGTGGAGGAAACATACAAATGCTATAGAAGAACCAAAGAAAGCTACAATTGTAGGCAGATGCAGTAAGGGGAGTTACTAAATGGTTGTTGCAGAAGAATAATCAAAGCCAACAATAGATGGCCCACTTCACTTACTCTTATCTGTGTGTGTCAATTGGGATGGAAGGTATAAGGGTTTTCCTGGAGATGTGATAGTGGCTTATGTAGATTTTGGAGAAGATGAATGATGGTGAAATAAAATAGTTGCACTAGAGGTTTGTTATGCTCATTTATCATTAGTATGAAGTAGTCATTTTTTTACTCTCTGCTTATCCATCCCTGTTATTAGTGATCTAAACCAGCACGTTTAAATAGAAAGGTGGTTTATTTTATCTATTTTCAATCAGAAGACACGAAATTGCCTTGTAACTTTTGGGAAAAGGAAGATTAGTTGGATATACTATAAATTAAGAGGCTCGTTTTAAAATACACCATAATAAACAAAAACAGTGGGTAAACTGCTTTGCTACCTTCTCGTTGATCAAAATTAATCTTTCTTCGATGAATTTTCTCACCAGTAAAATTTAAGTACATTTTGCGATTCAGTTGAAGCTTAGCTTGACCCAGTCACAACTTGTGTTATGTTTTTAATTGTGGAAGTGGCAGAACTTTGCATCATTTAAATGGCAAGGCATTTCGCACATCAGGACATAATGTAGACTGGTCGTTACCTCTGCAATTAGCTTGTAGATTCTATGTGGAGCAATATCATACATTCTTACTCTTATTGCATGTATACAACAATATGGAATGTCTAGTAGGTTAATCTTTCATTTATCTTTATATGAATCTATCCTTTCTTATTTTTGGTCTATCTGTTTTTTAAAAACTAGTTTTTTTATTGCAAAGTCATTCATCTGCATAGTTCTAGTGGTAGTGTTGCCAACCCCCTTGTTAGGAGTTTTCAATTACAGCTTGAACTAGATTAATGGTGTTATTAATCATATTTGTTTTAGAAGTTCTGGAATTAGTGAATTACAGTCCAGGAAAGCAGTTGGATGGTGAAACTTGCATGTCAATCATTGCTTTTCCTTGTTTTCCCTGATTGAACTTATCGTTTTCTTTTTTGGATTTTTGTTGTCCATTGTTTGACATATGTAATTGAAGCAAAGACTAAAATACCGTGAGTTTCATGTTTTTTTTGAGGTATTGTAAGACCCGTTCATATTCTATTCATCACTTCCAGTTGAGCATTATCTTTTTTATTTTATTTTTTCCAAAATTAAGGCCATGAGATATGTTATTTTCACTTGAAAAGTTGTCAGCGTCATTCTACATGATGACACTTTTTTTTTTTTTTACTTAGGCAGTAATCTTCTCATTTTCCTTTATTATTCAGGTTACTCTTGCAAATGCTTGTGCAAATGCCTCTCATGGCCTACAAGAGAGGGCTGCTGGAGCTTTGTGGGGATTGTCGGTGTCAGAAGCAAATAGGTAATGTTAACTGCTTCTTAGGGTTTAGGGTAAGAAAATAGATAATGCTCCATTTGACATCTAATTTTTTATTTTAAAAAGTTCTAGCACTTCTGAGACACGTCTTTAATACTCTTTGGAACCTATATGTATAATCTTGCTTCTAACATGTGCTTTGCACTTGTTTCTCAAAGATCTGTACATCACATTATTTTCTATGCACTTCATTCCTAATCTCTCACTCAATATAATTTTTTAGCCATTGTTGATCAATTGTATTTAGTAAGAAGCTTTTATTATTCTTTTTTCTACATGTAAACACTTGCTTAAGTATGAAATCATAAACATTATGCTTCTTATTCAAAAGCTTATACTTTTTTTGTTCTAAATTAAAGAGTTAATTGTGGTATTTGATTAGATGGAGTGAAAGACCTCTAATATTGGCCGTCGATGTTGAGAGGGCGTTGGTCGTCGATGTTGAGGAGTTGGCAAAGATGAGATGTTAAGTTGTGGGTGTAGAAATTGCTAGCATCGACCATCAATGTAATGACGGCGTCAGACTTTGATATGAAGATCGTTTTAAAATGTTGATGTGGTAACGACATAAGACGTCAATGTTGAGATGACATCGAGCATTGTTGTGAAATCAAAGTTGTAACCCGCCAAAGAGAAATGAGAATGAGAATATTCGATGAATGGGGTATTAAGTGCAGCTGTGCGGGCGATTGATTTGGTGTTGTGGATTAGAAATAAGAAATTTAGTTTTTATATTTTAAATAAGTAAAAATTTTAAATGCAAGAAATTATATTTTAAAAAATTCATAAAATATTTAATATACATATGTCGGACACTCGTGTTAATTTGTATTTAATATTTTTTCAATCGGGCACGTTTTCGGCGTGTTTGACACGTGTTGGAGGAGTGTTGGACGCGTGTCGTGTCAGATACATGTCAGACATTGCACGCCTCTTTGAGGAAAAATGTCTGTGCATCATAGATATCAATTTATTACAACCGTCAATAATGAAATGCTAAGCTACAAAGATCTGGAAATAGAGGAGCCCTTAGATTATCACTAATAAACAAAGAAGTAACAAATATTTCAAGAAATTGCAAATACTATCTAAACTTAATGATGCTACAATAACAGAAGCCTAATACATCTTACATGAGGGAGCCACTGCAATAGCTTCCAAGGAAGCTCTTAATTGAATAAATGAATATTGCAAGTCATGAGATAAGCCATAATCAACTAGAAATGCATTTGAAGGAACCAACCAACTGGAAAACCTTCAGTATGTATGAATAGTATTAAGTATTGTGGGAGTAGGATAGGTACAACATCAATGGTCTTAACCTTCAGTCTTCTCTTTTTTGACTACTTGATCGCTTATACTTCATTGGGGGAAGATAATAGAGATAATTAAATAAGGTGATCTGTGTATGATACAAATGTTTGGGCTTGGAATAATGAAAATATTATTTAGGTTGCAATATTGGCTTAGTGGCGGTGAAAATAAAATTGGGCAGACAAGTTAGAAAGAACAAAGCAGGAGGGAGAAAGAAATGAAGGCAATGATGATGGGTAGAGAGAGAGAGGAATGGAGGAAGCAATGATATTGGGCAGTTGAGAGGGGAAATCATGCAAAGTCTCCCAGAATACTGAATGAATATGTAGGGCATTAGTTGTTTGATAATAATTCCATTAAAACTTAGGTTTATTCGGTCTATTTTTTTGTAAAATAGTTTTATGTTTGATTTGATAGTCCTAGTTGCTATTTGGTTGATATGTAATGAGCACTGGCTGTTAGCATTGGTTATATGCGAAGTTAGGTGAGTCAGTGGATAGTATAGGTTGATGAATACACATCATTGAATAATTTTGGTGTTGGTGGTGGTGCTAGCACATGGGAACGGAGGGGAGGAGATGTATTGTGAAAGTACACTCATGCATTTGTGTTGAAACTCTGTACATTGTTGCCTTTCACCCTTTTATTGTGTTTGAGTTGGGCTAGTGAAGCGTGAAATGCAATGTCTCCCGGTTGATCTTGAAATATACAACTTACTATGGTTTTTTTTTCCTGCCATTAGTACTTATATAACTAGGTTTTTTAGATTGATGGGGGTAGGCTTTCTAGATTAGTAGGTTCAGGGAGAAACTAGAAATTGATGAACGAAGATTGAGGAAGGTGACAGTAATTTGTTGGAGATCAGGAGAAGCTTCTTGGTGGATCTTTCTACTAATTGAAAGCAAAGGTGTAGTGCAATTGTGTGATAACTAGTCTTCTTCATGATGAATAGTTGATTTTAAACTTTAATAAATAGAAAATGGGTTTTATTGAATCTATGAACTTTTCTAACTTTTGCTGGCTTGTGCATTTAGTAATGGGTGTTTTGTTGGATTACTTTAGGGTATAAAGTACTCCAAATACAGGAGTTTTATATTTTTTGGTGTTTGGTTGGAATACAAAATGATGTAAAGTATAGTAAATGTAATATAAAGTGAAGTAGTTCATTTTGAGTGTAAATCAAACACCAATTTTGAGTGAAAACAATTTACATCACAAGCTTGCTTGATTGCCGCCGGCTGCCCTCCCTCCGCCCTCCGCCGCCTACAACCACCGACGACCGCCACTGACCACCATCCTGCTGCCTATTGTCAGCCACCTCCATCGCCGCCGGGTTCTACCATCACCACCCACCGCTGCCGCCAGTCATTATTATTTAGTACTTTACATTCATTACTTCTAACCAAACAAAAAAATTATTCTCCTGCTTTTTTTTACATTCATTCAAACAGCTCTAAAGTATTCATTTTATACTGCATCCATTTTTCAACCAATCAAATAACTCATAATTTTTTAGTGACTGGCATTGAGGGGTGGGGTATTATGGGAAGTGCCAACCTGTCAGTCGATATAATTAAAAGAGTGTCAATGAAAAGTGTGTATGAGGAGTTTTGGATTTTTGGTGGCATTTGAATTGTGGGAAGGACATTGAAAAGAAAAAAAAAACATTATGCTTATGGATTTATGTATCTGTGGTGATTGTTGGATTTTTTTTCTTTTCTTTCCTCATATGTGATTTTCATTCAACTTTGCTGGAGGAGCAGGAACTAGAAAGGGTAACGTCGCAAAGGAAGGTGTAAGATCAACTTGGAGATTTCCCTGCACCTGTAGGAGTGCCTGTTGTTTTTCCTTGGTGACTAGCGCCCCTTTTCATTCTATATTAAATTTTTAAAAGTACTATACACAATATAGGGTTAAAAATTTAAAACTTGTGGTATCTTTTTTGTGACAAGTGATTAGCTTTTGTTATTTCTTAGGATCATCAACAGAGAATCAGGGTTTTTTTTATCAATATCATCGTTTCCTAGTTCATATAATTACTCTTTACTTCCACTCATCAAGTAATGCTATACTTGTGGTACACTCACAAAGTCTTTTATTATTGGATTGATGTAACACTACTTGAAGTATCATGCTATGTTCCTTGTATTGAATTCATTGGTTATCCGTTTAAAAAGTGTGATTGTCATGATTCCATGTTGTTGATAAGGAATTTTTTTAGTGACAAGGAATTGCTTTAGGTTTAGGATTCTAACTAGATGCATCCTAATCCTCTCCCCCACCTTCCCCTTCCCAGTCTTCAAACTGAAATGATGATACTGCATTACACAATCTCCAATATCAAATTGCCAACTAATGAAACACATATGCGACATCATATTGTGACTCATAACGACACAGATTGAGCACCTAATATTGTTGAGATATCCATGAGAGTGATAATAATTTCTTATCAGAAGTAAAAATAATAGTTGAGTTATGAACATATTAGTAGTGCCCTTTTTGCCTTGGTTTATGATTTTGTGGTGTTAAGTGTTTATCTACTAAATGATTGGGCTCAATTTGTTCCCGAGCACTCCACCACCCTTTACAAGTATCAGAATCGATGGTTTGATTGTTATGTGGTTTATGGTTCTTATGGGTCTTGGCTGCTTTTATGATAATCGATCATTGTTGAAGAATGGGTGGCCCCCATGCAGGCACCACATGATTTAGTGAAGTCTTATTGCATAGCACTTCTTGGGGTTGAAAGTTTCTGTTGTAGAGGGAGTGATTGTTGATGTGGAAAACTCAAATGTGAGGTGAAGATTGTTTATAAACATGACAACAGAAATTGTCCCTTTCAGAATTGAAAGTTGAGTTGCTAATATACTTGTAGTGGCCCTTACTAGCTTAAACTTTTGTGTTGATAAATTTTAATCTTCTTATTTATTTTACTCAATTTAGCTCTTGATATCAACTTTTGTCACACCAAATCTGTTAAATACTTTTACTGCAGCAAATCATACGAACAAGGCTAGAAAATGAAATATATGATATTTTTAATCCTCTTAATACATAGATATCCCAAGTAAGATCTTCATAGGAAATATATTACCAAAGCTTCATAAGTTACCACTCTCTTGCATAAATTCATTTCCACCCACATAAGAATTTCCAATTTCGATGGATGTCTTTACTATTGGGGTTGTGTCCTACCCCCCCATAAATATGAACTAATTTGGGATGGGAATCCTATTTTAATACAAGATTTTGTATGGTGCCTATGATTAGTTTGATATCGTGCCATTATTGAGTTTGGTAAAACTTCAATGCTATTTCTGTTCATGTTTTTCTTTTTGCTAATCAATCTTATTTTATCGTAGAAAGATTTTTTTGTTATTGTGGGCTCAACTTAAATATGCAAAATCATTGATTGAAAACTCTCACGGTAGACTTCAATAAACTTTTTAATAAAACTGAATTATTTCTTTTGCTTTTTTTTATGGAAAGTATTTCTTTTGTTTATATGTTTTTTTCTGTTTTTTGGATCCTTCATATTTACCTGATTACGTAAACTGTGTTTAATTAGGCAGAATGATCCTAGTAAAATTAGTTTTTCTGCAGTTGTAGTGCTTTTTTCCTGATTGATTTAGCGCACAGAACCTTACATTTCCAAACTGCTTGGCAACAATAATGACATTTGATCTAGTAACTTATAACAATCCTTAAACTAGTGTTACCATCAAGTGTGATAACGTCTCCTGAATTCTTAGGGGATTTTTCAGTCCAAAAAGTTTAAAGTAATGTTTGCAAATTATTTGAAGATTTAGTTTAGCAGAACATTTTACTTGTATTTCTGCCTATGGAAATTATCATCTCGTAAGTATTAAAGAACTAGTTGTTTTTTCATTAGATTAACTTTTTGAGGTTTGTTACAGATGTTCTTCAAAACTATCTTTTAAATTGTTCTTTTCATTTGAACGGAAAACGTGAATATTTGCCTCTTATTACAATGTACATTTATATGCATTGTAGTCTTGTGCGCATAAAATACTTTTCACATCTATCTTATGTCAATCGTTTGATTTACTTTCTGTGAAATTCTTTAGTTTTCCTTGACTATAAATGCTGCTAAATTGAAGATATTTGTTTTAGTGTTGCAATTGGACGAGAAGGTGGTGTTGCACCTCTTATTGCTTTGGCACGCTCCGAAGCTGAAGTAAGCATTCATTTTTGCTGTTAGTTTTATGACAAACGGTTGTTTTATGCTGTGCCGTTATTAAGAACATTGTCTAGTCCTGTTGTTGTTGATTGTTGAAAACAGCTGATTTTAGGATATCATCTCAAATTTTAGACCTATAGGTTCTATACTTCTATTTTAATTATTCTTTATTATAATCTACCTATTCTTTTTCTTACAAACGATATCCTTTTTGTTGAGATCTCAAGTTACTTATTCTGTATGTCCATGCAATTGAGGAGTCTTGCTTAGTGTTTCAGTAAATTGTACTTAGTCCATGCAACTCATGTACCTCTTAGTTACTCTTGAATATGCTATTGCAAGGAAAACGTTGCACCTTGCTGTACAAACTTGGTGATTGGAAAGCAATTGCGCATCTGGTTTATTTTACTCCTACTTGAGTCTGTTAGCTCTGGTAACTTGGAAGGGCTCCAGCCTCCTGTTCTTCTCGTGTAGTTTTTGCTGAGTTCTAGGCTTGCCCATTCACCTGACGAAGATATTCTGAGTGCATTTTTTCAGAAGTTTAATAGTAAATTACTATTAATTCTTGATTTTTTATCCGGGCGTTCTCGTTTCTTTCAGATTGTTTTTAGTTGGAGTAAGATATTTATCTCACATAATCACAAGTGGTGTGCTACGATTGCTGCATACACCGCATATATTTATCTTTTCCAAGTTGGTCTTTTAGATGGATCAAAAAATTCTGGATGCTAAAATAATTCAATGGTTGGATGGTCTAATTATATCTTAAGCTAAATCATTCAAATTTCAAGGTTATAAAACTCCAATTAAATGGGAACTCGTTGATACGTAAAGTTACGCTTTCCAGTCATAGTCTTTTTACAATTGCATGAACAAAATGCCCTATCCAACTCAATGTACTTAAATAAATAACTTCCCAGAAGATAATTCTAAAAGGGAATGCTACTTTCGAAAATCTCCCTCCCAAGCATGTTTCGAAGTCCATGGATTTGCCCATGAGTGGAAAGTGGAAAGTTGCTTCATGAGCCACCCAAGGTTTAGAATTGCGCAATTAGGTATTGAGGCGTTTTTCTTTCGTGAGACAAGGCGTAAGCCTCAAAATCCAAAAATTGCATAAATTCAAAATGATAAGTTTTTTGTATACTAATGACTAATCTAATAATATATTAAAAGTTAACAAGAAATAAATTGTCGTTTATATAAAACATAAAAAAATACAAGATATGAAGTGTCAAGTAATAAGTTGTTTAAAATTAAAGTGAAATCCAAACATCACAATAATAAAGCAACACAAAATATAGTTCTTCTTAAAATTCTATCTTTCCCAAACCCAATATCCTGTTCATTAACATGCAATTTAAAAATAAATAGCAATGACATAACAACTCAGAAGTCATTAGCACTGTCATCACTAAGGGGGCCTTCATTTGAATCATCGTTATGATGAACTGTTCTCTCTGCTTCCTCATCTCCTATGAAGTTCAATGTCTCACAATTAGCTTCTTCTTCCTCTATATCAGTTATCTTCCTCTTCCCTAAATATTTTTGAACAATATGAAGATAAGTAATATATTAAGAAAAGTAAAGTATAAGAAAACTATGTTATTTATATACATTGTTTTGTTCGTTCTTAAGTTGTGGTGGATATAGATCCTCTATGACCATCAAAGAAATCAACATTTAAATCTTCCCCTCATAATTCAGACAGTGTCACCTTCACTTTACAAATCACTCGTCATCAGATGTCATATCCTCATAAATTAAAGGATCTTTATCATCCTTTAATCCTTTTTTTTTATGCTCATGTCTTTGAGTCTCCTATTGTACATAATGTACAGTAGTGAATTCGTCCTCAATGTTGACAAATGATTTATCCTCTTTCTATACACTTGGTTGTAGGTGCTCCAATTCCGTTCACATCTAGATGAAGAGCATGTTAATCTCAAAACTTTCACAGCAAAATATTGCAATTATGGAGTAAGTGTCATCACCAAATTGAATCCACGACTCAACTAAGATTTACATAAATTAGTATAGTCAGTACTCAAAAAGAAACTTTTTAATAAATGAGTAAAAAAACAAATGAAATTACCTAGAGATCGTTTGGAAATAGTGTCCTTTGCCTGTTGTAATAAAAAAATTCTTCTTTATTCCTAAAAGGTGCCATTTGCATGTCAACATTTGATCTTTCAATTGCATCACCCATCAGTCGATCCATGCAATGATACACTCCTAATTTTATCTTATGATTTGTAGACTTATTCTCTGCATATTGATACTGAGGGTTTAAGTTCTCTTAATTTCTTCAATGCTTTTCTCAGTATTGTCCAATTCCTTTAAAATCCACATTCTGAAATCATACATGTTTGGAGGTTTGAACCCTCTCTCATATGCTCCAACTGACCAAATCATGTTGCAGGTGATATTGCAACATTAAATGGGATTGCATTTTCATAGAAGAATCTGTCTATATCCTTACATACTATTTTACGTGCCTCCCTAGCATTCTCTAGGGTCATCATCTGTGCAGTAGGAGGCCAATCTTTTGATGTTTGCACCATGTAATGATCCATGGGACCCCTTGCACCCCTAGAAGATATGAGATTCATTGAAGAAGATGATTCCCGACGCTATGCTCACTCCTGTAATAGGAGCCAACATCAATTCTGTCCTCAAACTGCTTCTGGGCAAGATGCTTTGACATGATAAACTTATTCATGTATGCATTTGTCTCTTCCTTGATTGTATCATACACTTTAGCGCATCATGCAACATTCTTGTAGGACCCGGAAATGTGCTCATTCGTCCTAGTGACACTATCATTCACTACTTTGTCACAATAATTACATTTCAGATATTTGTATGATTTTTCACTGCCTCTTACGTCCACTTGAGTGTTATGTTTCCATGTTAGATCCTTCCTATGGCCTGATGCAACTTTATCTCTACTTCTGATCATTCTTTACGAAACCCTACAATTAAATATTGAAAGCATTGCTCCTATAACCAAGTGAATATTAGATAGATTCCACATAATTCAAAGAAAGCAAATGTTAATGAAGGTCTTACAGTATTATATGTCATTGATACGCGACTGTATGGTTGATGATGTTGAATAATGTTAAAACCAAATGGTTCAAGATCTATTCCAAAACTGTAGCTACACTTTCAAAATGGAATTTGGTTCAAGTAGTAAGACAAATTATTTCAAGTTCTTTACTACAAAAAATAAATTCAATTTGAGTACAGAAAGTTGTCAATAATCTTTCCTATGATTGGACCAAGCAATTATACCGAAAACAACTTTGAAATTGAATCATTTTAATATGAAAATAGTAAATTTATATATAATTAGTAATTAATTGTAACATTCTTTTGTACCGATAATGTATATCTCTAAGAAAATTTTGCAAAATATGAGAAAAGCATAAGAAAGAAACATACAAATAAATGGTAGAAATTGGCGCAAGAAAGCCCTTAACTTTACGGACTTTCAATTCGGACTGTCCACCAACGAATGTTTGAATCGAAGAAGGCAAAGAATTTTTTAGAACGTCATCGAAGAAGGAAATAAAGCTTTAATAACAAATCCCTAAACCTAACTTGTGGTGCTTAGGCAAGGTCGAAGAGGAGGATTGCGAAGAAGATGAAGACGGTCGAACTCCAGGCGAAGTCACGAATGCAGTCGTTGATGAATGAAGTCAAATGCACATACAGGCGAAGTCGACTTCACGCAGAGGCGAAGTCAAAGAGTAGACATTTGAACACACGCGAAGTCGAATCCAAAGTAACAGGTTTAGGGTTTTTTATATAATAGTTTTTAAGAGGCGAACGCCTTGTCAAAGTGTGGCAAGGCGCGCCTTAAGGTGCACCTCTGTTCATTTGAGGTGCACGCCTCGTGTTTCAACCTGAAGGCGCCGCCTTGACGCGCAAAATGTCAGAATCGCGCTGAGGCGCACCTCTTGTTGCGCAATTTTAAACCATGGAGCCACCCATTCTATTCATAGGACCTTGGAGGGTGTTCATGGATGTATTGCAATAAGATTGTTGAAGTTGCTTAATACATAAAATGCAACAAAAAGAACACGCCTCACACTTTCTAAATCAAGCTCTCAGCCACAAAAAAAAGCCTCTCAAAGAAATGTTAGTGCACAGGGTTTTTTTTTAATTTTAAGTTCGTCCATGCAGCCACCACCAACTCCCGCCCCACAACTTAGCTCCTCCTGGCTCCATCTGATAGAGGAAATTTTTTGTGGTTTTATTCATTAGCAGCAATGTTCAGCATACGCCAGAAAGAAAAGAAAAAAAAACTTTTTTTGATCCGATTAACTTGTGCAAGTTGGTAGTGGTTTCTTAGATCATATTTAGTGTCTTCTGATGTTACCAGTGCTCGTTATTTTACTATTAATTTCTTTCTTAACATGTAAAAATTCTATAGGCTATCATAGTATAAACTCAACTGGCATCATCTACTGTTGTATTGCTAGTACACCTGTTTTTATGAATGACTAGCTTTTGGTTAATCGTTCAATTGAAATCAATGCTTGATTACTGAACTTCTATTCGTAAGATTACAAAGCATACCTTAACCTCAGTAAAACCTGACATGTGCAGTAACTATTACTAGCTTTGAATCTTGTCCAAGGCTAGCAACAGCTCTTATTACTCAACAAAGCATTCAATACTTCTGTGTATTGTGAAGAAGATAGAGTTTCATGTTGAACACATCATTATCATATTGATTGATTTTTTGTTTGTTTCAGATGTAAGAAACTATTTTCCTTGTACAGGATGTTCACGAAACAGCTGCTGGAGCACTTTGGAATCTTGCCTTTTATCCTGGCAATGCACTTCGTATAATTGAAGAGGGGGGTGTCCCCGCTCTTGTACACCTTTGTTCATCATCAGGGTCCAAAATGGCTCGTTTCATGGCTGCACTAGCTCTTGCTTATATGTTTGATGGAAGGCAAGACATTTATTTCCATTAGCCAGTTCTTTTTTTACATCAATGTAACCACGTTTTTAATGTGGAATATTTTTTACTTTTTCATATGTTAAATTAGGAAAATATATTCACTTTTTTTCAACTGACTTTTTTTTTGCTGAAAAAGAAAATACTTACATAGTCTTTGGCTTTCATTTGGGGGCTTCTTATTCACGTATGTGCATGAAGTGCAAAATTTACTGGTTAGGAAACATTAAGTTAGACTTCAACAAGGGCTAGAAATTATGCAAACATAATAAATTTTATACTCTTCTCAAAAGAAATGAATAGAGAAGGAGGATTCATAAAACCAACTTTAATATTGAGGATAAAGATGTAGTGATGAATTAGAGGGATATCAAACAAAATCTTTTTAGTCACTTGTATCAGAAGGCAACTATTTTACTCCATGCTGATACATTTTACCAATTTATATAAAGAGATGCAACATGTATTTTGGGGAAAATTTAGTCGTGACTTTGGTAAGGGCAAAGTTGTGCATAAAAGTTTACACGATCAAAAAAGGATTCATAAAATTAAACCTTAGTAGTTGGGTTAAATGATGCTTTTGAGAAGGGACGATAACCAAGATCTTTTCAGTCACTTAGATAATATCAAAAGTGAAATATTCCTACTTCATACTTCATGAATTTTAGTACCCCAAGCCTTGGATAGATTTTCTTTTAATAAATATGTTGAAGGAATGACCATGATTCTTATTGTTCATTGTTTAATTGTATGAACTAATATGGATGTTCTGTTGAAAAGAGGAGTATTCTGATACGTCTATAATTTGATTTGATTGAGAAGATGGTGAGGTGAATTGGCATTAAAGGATGCCTTGGAAGTAGTTCTTTGATGGAATCTGACTTGGAGGCATCAAGCATTGTATGTCCTGAGGTGGTGATGTGTTGTTTATTGTTAATAGAATAAAAATGATTATACAGGGGAGTAACAATTCTTATAAAGGATACATGGAGATCCAAAAACACTTATTATGATCAAGAGAGAATCGAGAGAGGGATATATTGAGGGTAGAGAGAAAAAGGGAATATAGAAAATAGCTTTAATTGCAATTTAATGATAATCAAAATACATCCGTCATACCATATTAGTAGACTTAGGGTTACAAATAAAATTCAAAACTTATCCCTATCCAAATTGAAATCTAATCCTAACAAATTGGATATTAAATTCAAGATTGTTGAGGAGGATAGTTTATCATATTTAAACAAAAAGAAATCTAAAGAAAAGTAAAATAAAAACCTAAAACTAATTTGAAGCACTAGCAAATTTCAGGAATAATCTTCTTGTACTGCATCATTTCTGCTGGGGCCAATAGAATTTATGAAGGCTTAAGCCATGTCTTGGAAGTTTGGTTTTCATGATGGAGAAGGGAGTTGAATCACTTCATGAACATATCCTGAATGTCCAACATGTGTTGTTTGAACATAGGATATATAATTTAGAAGCTTTGATTTTGGACTTCATCACACATCTTACACTTATTTTTTTAGTTACCAGAGAAGATCATATGGTCACACGACGATTGCAATGATGTTAGCATGAAATTAATATGTATTTTTGGTGAGCAAACTAAAAGCACTTTTGGAGCCTAAAGAATAATATATATGTTTGGAGAAGAATCTTGCACAATAACAGGCTCGATCTTCATCAAGTTTATTTGTAGAATCTAATGTTTCACATTAATAATTTGTATAAACCAACGTAGGATAAGGACCCAAATTTTTAAATGGTGTAGATGATAGATGCATGAAATTCTAGAATTTGATTAGCATTTAAAATCTTTGGTTGAGAACTTGGTGTATAATATGATCTAATCATCATGGGACGAGACAATCGTAACTATAGTCTTCAAAACATTCATCATTGATGATTTCTATATTCTTGATGAGATGCTAGATCATCATTATTAATAGCTATTAGATGCATCAATCTTGGTAGTTTTTGAAATTGATTTAGAGAGAGATTTATGATTTATAGTTGCATTATGGTTCATCAATGGCTTCATCAAGTACTTCTAGTTACTATTTTAACAAATCATTGCGGGCATTCTTAGGTCCGCTTAGTGTCATAAATTATGTTTGAAGTTAAAATCACATGAATCTTATAATTCACCAATGCCCATGATGTTGTTGTTCGCTTAATGATTATGAGTTTGACAAAACATATCAATAAAGTTAGAATGATGATTTATAAATAATGAAAGTTTTGTAAGTCTACAACAACATCAAGCCTTTATCCCACTACGTGGGGTCGGCTACATGAATCATTTTTCTCCATTGTGTCCTATTAAAGGTCAAATTCTCGTTTAAATCTAATAAAGAAAGGTCATTCCTAATATTTTCTAACCAAGTCTTTTTAGGTTTGCCTCTACCTTTCTTAACTTAAGTCAAATCTAATACCTCTACTCTCCTAACCGGGTCATTGGAAGGCCGCCGTTTTATGTGACCAAACCATCTAAGGCAACTCTCTCTAATCTTATCCTCTACTGGAGCTACTCCAACCTTTTCACGTATATGCTCATTTCGTTCTATCTCTAAGGGTAAAGCCACTCATCCGCCAGAGCATCATCATCTCTGCCACACTTAACTTAGTATTATGCTTCTATTTTAATGGCCAACATTCAGCACCATAAAGCATTGCAGGCCTCACTACCATCTTATAGAATTTTCCCTTAAGTTTGAGGGTACTTTTCTATCACACAACAAGCCCGATGCATTCCTCCACTTCAACATTCAACTTGAATCTGCTGATAATATCCCCATCTATTTCACCATCACTCTGAACAATAGATCCAAGATATCTAAAATGTGTACTCTTATTAATGACTTGATCGCCCAAAGTCACAATTCCCTCACTAGGTCTATTACTACTAAAATTACACTCCATATATTCAGTTTTAGATTACTCAAGCGAAAACTTTAGTCTCTAATGTTGACCTCCATAATTCAAGTTTACTTTCAACTCTCTCTCTAGTCTTATCAACAAGAAGAATATCATCAGCAAAAAGCATACACCAAGGTAAATCCTCTTGCAAATGTCTAGTGAGAACATCCATGACTAAAGCAAAAAGATATGGGCTTAAGGAAGATCCTTGATGTAACCCAACCGAAATAGGGAAATAATTGGTCAAACCACCTTGTGTTTGAACACAAGTAATAGCTCATGCATACATATCTTTAATGATTTGAATATAAGCAATTATTAACTCCTTTCTTTTCAAGAACTCTCCATAGTACTTCTCTTGGTACTTTATCATATGCTTTTTCTAAATCAATAAATATCATATGTAGATCCTCCTTATTTTCTCTATATTCTCCATCAAACCTCTTAATAAATGTATGGCTTCCATAGTCGACCTACCCGGCATGAATCCAAATTGATATTTGAGAAACTTAGTATACGCCTCATCTATGCTCCAATAACTTCGCTCCATAGTTTTAGGTATGACACATTAACTTAATTCCTCTATAATTCGCACAATCTTATGCATCACCTTTATTCTTAAAAATAAGAATTAACACATTCATTCTTCACTCATCTGACATCTTGTCTTCAAAATAGTATTAAAAAGTTTAGTAAGCCAAGGAAATTCCTTCATCTCCAAAGCATTTGCCACCACCTCTATTGGAAATATCATCAGGTCCAAACAGCTTTTCCACCCTTCATTTTCTTAAAGCCTCTTCTAACTTCGTTTTACTAATACGCCATAAAAAACAGAAATTTTCTTTTCATTTTTTAGGGTAAGTCACTATGTCAATGCTAATTTCATAATTTTCATTAAAAAAGTTTAGCCAAAAATATCTCATTCACCTTTTGTTGCAATATCATCTCTAAAAGAAAAGTATTTTTTGATCTTCATCCTAAATACACTTCACTTGAACTAAATCCCTTACTACTCATATCTCTTTGTTTGGCTAACTTATTCATTATCTTTCTCCCTCCTAGTTATCTAATTATCTTTATAACATCACTAAAAGCTAAGATCTTTGCATCACATATAGCTTTCTTAGATTCCTTACGAGCCTCTTTATATCTTTCCCACTTATCAGAATTTTTAAAATTAAACTAATTTTTATAACATATGTTCTTATTTTTAATCTTTTCTTGCACATTTGGATTCCACCGCCAACTATTTTTACTATTAGGAGCTTTTCCCTTTTATACTCCAAGCACATCTTTTGCAATATTCTTAATATAATTAGCCACTTTTTCCCACATAACATTAGCATCCTCATGCACAGATAAAATCTTAAGATATAAAATCTTACTCTCAAAAATATTTTTGTTAATATTCTTTAAATGCCCCCTATCTAATCCTAGAATATCTTTTTACTTTATTATTTATTTTCAGCCCGTTTATCTTAAAGTCCAAAACTAATAATCGATGTTGAGGTACATAAATTTTCACTCGGAATAACTTTACAATCTTTGTAATTTAAACGATCTAATTTCTTATAAGAAAATAGTCAATCTATGTTGTACTATATCCATTTTGTAAGTCTACAGGAAAATTTAATATTTAAGATGCATCTTATGGTAATGGAAATTGTTAGAAATTATCTTTTTTATTAGATTTAAATGAGAATTTGGCTCTTAATAGGACACTATGGTGAACAAGGATTCATATAGCTGACCCCATATAATTAGATAAAGGTTTGATATTTTGTTGTAAGGTGCATCTTATGGGCATAGTCTATTCAATTACCTGACAATACTCTTTATTGATGTCATGGTAATGGATGGAGGAAATTCATATGATTTCAAGTGAGAGTTTTGATGCAGTCATCATCGTGAAGTTTAGATCTTAAACCAAATGATGAAGAAAAGAGAATTTCTCTGATATCCAATTGACAGAAGTCCTCACCGCTGGAATTTGATTTGATTGAGAAGTAGGATAGGTGAATTGGCATTGAAGGATGACATGAAAGACATGTTTCTACGATGGAAGCAGGCTTTGGAGGCATCGGTACTTTATGACCAGAGGAGCACATTGGCTAATAGAAGGGATCATAGAAGAGACTGCAAATTGCTGTTTGCTATCAATGGTGATCGAGAAACTCTTGCAGATAAATTGTTTTCTTGGACTTTTTGGTGGGATGTAAGACTGGTCCCATTTTGTACAAATTGTGATGGAAAAAGAGAACCAATTTCTCAAAATTCTTACTTAGGTTATGGAAGTAATTTCATTAAGTTGACTTCAAAAACTTGGTCTTTTTTTTCTTTCTAACTTCTATATTTTGTGCAGGATGGATGAGTTTGCATTGATTGGTTCTTCTTCAGAAGGTACTTCAAAGAGTGTTAGCTTTGAAGGTGCCAGGAAGATGGCGTTAAAGCATATAGAAGCCTTTGTTCTTTCATTTTCAGATCATCAGCTTTTCTCCATGGCTGCTGCATCCTCTGCAACAACAGCTTTGGCACAAGTTCTTGAAGTGACTCGCATACAAGAAGCAGGACATCTAAGATGCAGGTTTCTGTCTGTCTTGTATCACAAGCATGATGTTTAATTGATGGTTTTCATTGTTGACCTGATAGCAGTCAACCTTGTTTTAGATACTGTATTTATATTTAAGCCTATTATGTTATTGTCTATTTTCTTGAGAAATCTCACCTTGACTACGTCATGCAATTCTTTTACATGATTAATCTCATGTTTTCTGATTACTTTTTGTGATCAAGATTTATACATACTTGACCATGAATTATATGTCTATTTATACCTGTATCAGAAATACTGTCCTTTTGTTTAGCTTGTAGCTACTTATCTGTTAAACTTTTTTTGTTTGATACTTTGATTGCAGTGGTGCTGAGATTGGACGATTTGTAGCAATGCTTCGTAATTCTTCTAGCATACTTAGAGCCTGTGCTGCTTTTGCTCTAGTGCAGGTAATTTAAGAGTTCATTTCTCCATTTTATCATAGAAATGTCTGTTTGACGTGCATTTGGTGATCGTGTGTCTAACCTGAATTTTGTCATTTTTTATAGTGAACATGTTCATCATTCTACACGATGCAAATAATGCCATGTCAAATATAAAACTGCTACTATGCTTCATGCATAGGATCTTCATTGATTGCTGTGTTATTCTTATTGGAACCCTGCCTGTCTAGAATAGCTTGCTTTGTCTTTTTGGTCGGGTAAATTCCAGTTAGATCTCCGCTTTCCATTTTTAGCATAAGACTTACCTATCCTCGATGTTTTCTGGAAGTCACACTTTGGTCTCTACTTTTAGGATGAAATCCGATTTTGGGCTCAAATTAACTGGCCCTTGTCGTTCCTTTCAAGTTCTAATGTTAACTGGTACAATCTGTTCTTTTATCTTTTGATATAAAAATGATTGGAAAAAAAAAGTTGGTGATTGCGAGTGCATGTCAGGATAGGACCCAAAATTAAATTTTCTCATTGAAGGATCTAAAAGGCATGCATCCAAAGTTTTTTTTTTTTTGCATGCATCCAAAGTTATTTTAGGCATTTAATAATACTATATGCATGACCTCTTTAACAATATGTGTACTAATTTGAGGATTTTGTTAGAATGTGTATACTCATCTATGATCATAAATTTTACATACCAATTTGCAACTTTGCAAAATAATGTTGTTGTCCCGAGCAGCTGGATTTAGTGAGGTTTTGATAGATTACACAATGTTCTATCAGGTTTTGGAGTGTAAACTGTGATGCTAGTCATGCATTATACTTGAGGGCATAATCTGATGGACTAGGTGTGTGCTTTGAGGTTATAAGATGATACGGCGGAAGCAAGTGCAGACCCATGAGCCACGGGACCGACTGGTCCAACAAATTTCGGCCCAGGTGGGGCCGGCGGATGGAGGGGGGGGGGGGGGCGGGGGGGGGGGGGGGGGTGCCGGTTGAGGGAGTGGGGCCCAATAGAGAATAAAAACCTTACATTAGGAGGAAATCAATTAGGAAGTCATGATTTCCTAATTGAATTTCAAATTGAGGGAAACACATTAGAAAGGAGGCTGATTTGGGGGTTGAATTGGAAGGAATTAATTAAGAAATATTTTCTAATTTGAGAGGGAATTGGGGGAGGGCTATTTTGGAATTTATTGTTTTATTGTTTGCTATAAGTAGTAGGGTTTATGTTATGTTTGGAGGAAGAAATTTGTTTTGAGTGTTGTAGTTCTCTTGTGTGAGTGTTCCTAGCGGTCTCTAGGGTTTGAAAGAGAATGTCCTACTCTCGAAAGAGAACAATTCTATCTTGCTATGTTTGTGTTTGAATTTCTATCAATAACAATCTGTTTCGTGTTGATTTTTCTTGAAGTATTTTGCTTTTTTGGATACCAAGATGTATCCAATTGGTATCAGAGCACGTTCCTGGATCGAAATATGGGTTTTTGTTGCTGATTTCTATAGCGATCTTCCTTTTCGTCCGTTGAATTTTGTTGTTTGGAGGCCAGAGCCCGTCAAAACTGTTTTTTATCGCCGGGAGAACCTTGATCCGATTACCAATGGCTGGAAAAAGAGTTAAGGCATTGGAGGAAAGGTTGGAGGGGGAGGTAGGGCAACTACGAGCGAATGTGGGAACGTATTTCAGCCATAGAAGGAAGGTTTGGGAAAATGGAGGAGATGATGGAGCGGATGTTGGAGCTTCATACTAAAATGGTCTTGCCATGAGCAAGATGAAACCAGGAAGATGACATGCCGAGGGAAGACGGGGAGGTGAAAATTTTAGAAGAGGAGTGAATACCCACTTGGAGCCTATTCCAAGAAGGGGGATGGGTAGGGAGTATGTAGGAAGGAGGGAATGGACTGAAATTGGAGGAAGGAGAGGATATGAACGGAGAAGGGAAGAGAGGTAACCGTGGAGGGACCACAATGTTCGTGCCATTGGGGGTGTTGGGGCGGAAGAGGACATTAGGGCAGAGAAGATCAAAAGATCACAAAGCTGAAAATGTATGTATTTGAAGGGGATGATGCACATGGATGGATATATTGGGTGGAGAGGTATTTTACAGTGAACGGGTTGACATAAGATGAGAGACTGATGGTTGCCGCTCTATATCCGGAAGGGAAGGCACTGGCACAATACCAATGGTGAGAGGCAAGGTACCTAATCCATTCGTGGGATGAGTTCAAGGAATGCTTGTTGGAGCGTTTTCAAGCCCAGCAGGATGGAGATTACTATGAGCAATTCTTTGCCTTAACACAGGTTGTCACTATGATGGAGTATCGTGAAAGATTTGAGCTTCTGTCTGGACGAGTAGGGAGGTTATCAGAGGAAGTGTTGGAAAGCAACTTCATGAAAGGCCTCAAACCAGAGTTAAGAGCAGTAGTATGGGTGGAAAGACCTCGTGGTCTGGGAGAGGCGATGGAGTTAGCACAGATGATTTAGAACAAGAAGTCACTTCAGAAGAGTAGTAAATGGGGCAGTGGAGGAGATTCTTATCGCACGTCGACCATCTTCCTAGCACCAAGGGTGCAGATTGTACCAATTAAAAGGGAGACGTCAAGGAGGGCAGTTTGGGAGCCCGACTGAGAGGAGATTTCAAGAGGCTGACTAATACTAAATTATAAGACAAGAGAGCTAAAAGGCTATGTTTTGGATGCGACAAGAAATTTACACAAGGACAGGTGTAAAAATCACGCATTGCAAGTTCTCATTGTGTGTGATGGGGAAGAGGTGGATGAGGAAGAGGAATTGAAGGAGGAATAAGAGGAAGAGGAGCCCGTGCATTTGGAGGTGGCGGAAGTTTCATTGAATTCGGTAATGGGATTCACCATCAATCACACTATGAAGGTAAGGGGGCATTTTGGAGGAGAGGTAGTGGCAATCCTGGTAGATAGTGGGGATACCTACAACTTCATATCGAACCAAGTGGTAGACAAACTGGGGCTGAAACTGATAGACACAAGATGGTTTGGAGTGATGATGGTTACAAGAAAAGTAAAAAGGAGTAGAGGGATATGTCAGGGTTTACTGATACAGCTGCAAGGGATCCACAACAGGGAGAGTTTCTTTCCATTAGAGTTGGGAAGTACTGATTTGATTTTGGGCATAAAATGGATAATACCTTGAGGGAGACCAAGGTGAACGAGAAGGCTTTGATCATGGAGATTCAGTTTGGGGGGGGGGGGGGGGGGGGGGGGGGGGGGGGGGGGAGAAGGGTGGTAATTAAGGGAGACCCTAGCTTATATAAGGCAATGGTTTCATTGAAAACCATGGTGCGTACCCTTCAAGGGAAAGGAGGGGGATTCTTGGTGTAGCTCCAGAGTCTGGAGGGAGCAGAAACAGAGGGTGAAGAGGACATTCCAGACATCGTCCAGCCCTTGCTTCAGTAGGTCAGGGAGGTATTCAACTTTCCCAGGGGTTGCCACCCCCATGGGACACGAGCACTCTATTGTTCTGAAGGAAAGAGTACCCCCCATTAGCGTACTGACATCCTCATATCCATAAGGATGAGATTGAGATGCTTATTAGGGAGATGCTTGAAAATGAAATCATCAGGGTCAGTGTGATCCCTTTCTCAAATCCTGTATTGTTGGTGAAGAAGAAGGATGAGAGCTGGAGATTCTGCGTATACTATTATGATTTAAATAAAGATATGATACCATACATGTTTCTCATACCTGTCATTGATGACATATTAAATGAGTTGCATGGATCTGTGATATTTTCCAAGATTAACTAGAAATCTAGATATCATCAGATCAGAATGAGACCTGAAGACGCCCACAAGTAAACTTTTCGAGCACACGAGGGACATTATGAGTTTTTGGTGATGTTGTTTGGTCTCACTAACACACCGGCCACCTTCCAGTCCCTGGTGAGCAGGATATTCCAACCCTACTTACAGAGGTTTTTGCGATATATTGGTTTAGAACAGATCCGAAGGGGAGCACTTAGAGCACCCGGAAATTGTTTTGTCGACCTTAAGGGAGCGCTCTTTATTTGACAATAAGAAGTGTTCTTTCACCCAGCCTAGAGTGAAGTACTTAGGGCATGTGATATCTCAGGAGGAAGTCGCTGCTGATTAGAGTAAGATTGAGGTCATGCTTAGGTGGCCCATACCCAAGAATCTAAAGGAGCTGAGAAGATTCTTGGGACTCATTAGCTATTACAGAATGTTTGTAAAGCGATACAGATCAATAGCAAGGCCATTGATAGAACATCTCAAAAAAGACAACTTCAAGTGGGGAGAATCTGCAACCCAGGCTTTTGAGGAGTTGAAGAAGGCTGTGACTAGTGTGCCAGTCTTAGCCCTTCTGGATTTTAGCCAACCTTTTCTTGTGGAGGCAGATGCTTTGGGCTTTGGGCTAGGAACAGTACTTATGCAGAACCAGAGGCCCATGGCCTATTTTAGTCAGGTGTTGACGGCTTGGGCTAGGCTCAAGTCAGTCTACAAGAGGGAGTTGATGGTGATTGTGCTGGCCATTCAGAAATGGCGATCATATCTCCTCGGAAGGCATTTTATCATTAGAACAAACCAAAGAAGTTTGAAGTATTTTTTGGAACAAAGAATTGTCACTAACGATAGGGGCAAGATCTTCCTAAGCCAGTTCTGGAAGAAATTGTTCGAAATGTAGAGGACTATCCTGAAAAGAAGCACTACTTATCATCCTCAGACGAAAGAGCAGACAAAGGTAGTTAATCTTAGTATGGAGACCTATCTGCGGTGCTTTATATCAGATACACTCAAGTTGTGGTCCAAATGGTTGTCTTGGGCAGACTATTAGTATAACACGTCTTTCATTCGGCATGGCAGATTATACCGTTCAAAGTGTTATACGAACGAGATTCTCCTTGCTTGATATACTATGGGAAAGGCGGCAGACCAGTGGCTTCGATAGAACAATACTTGAAGGACAGAGACAGGATCTTGGGGGAGCTAAAGGGACATTTGTTTAGTAGCTCAATAAATTATGAAGAAGGAATATACGCATAGGCGAGACATACAGTTCGAGGTGGGGGACAAGGTTTACTTAAAGCTTCACCCTGACACAGAGACGGAAAGATAAATTAACCCTGGCACAGAAACGGAATGATAAATTATACCCTTGATATTTTGGTCCCTACGAGATAATGGAGCGCATAGGGACCATTGCTTATCGCCTACAGTTACCACCATAGGTAGCCATCCATCTGATGTTTCATGTGTCCCAGCTGCAACGGATGATAGGATAGCATATTCCTTCCTTGACACTTCCCCCGACCTTGACAAAGGAGATGGAGGTGTTGTTGGAACCATTGGATGCAAAGGACTGCGACCGAGAGTAGTAGGGATCAAAGAAGTGTTGATCAGGTGGAAGACTATGTAGCAGCAATTCCCTGCATTCCACCTTGATGACAAGGTGGGACTTTTGGGGAGCAATATTGATATGGCGGAAGCAAGGGTCAGCACCAAGCCGACCCAAGAGCCACTGGTCTGGTCGATCTAGCAAATTTCAGCTCCGGTGGGGGAGCCGGTTAAGGGGGTGGGGCAACATAGAATTAAAACATTATATTAGGAGGAAATCAATTAGGAAATCATTTCCTAATTGAATTTCAAATTGAGGAGAGAAACACATTAGGAAGGAGACTTATTTGGGGGCTGACTTGGGGCTGAATTGGAGGGTATTAATTAGGAGATATTTCCTAATTGGAGAGGGCTAATTTGGGGGCTGATTTGAGAGGGAATTGGGAGAGGGCTATTTTGGAATTTATTGCTTTATTGTTTGCTATAAGTAGTAGAGTTTATGTTATTTTTGGAGACAGAAATTTGTTTTGAGTATTGTAGTTATCTTGTGTGAGGGATCTTAGTGGCATCTAGATCTAGGGTTTAAGAGAGAAGGTCCTCATATCGAAAGAAGACCATTGTATCTTGTTTTGTTGTGTTTGATTTTCCATCAATAAAAATATGTTTTATGTTGAATTTTTTTGAAGTTGTTTGTTATTTTAAATACCAAGATGTATCATAAGACTACAATGAAAAAATTGCAGTTTACTATTCCTGGTGGAAGGCATGCAATGCACCATGCTAGTCTCCTGCAGAAAGCTGGGGTGACTAGAGCGTTGCGAGGGGCAGCTGCATCAGCATCAGCTCCAATAGAAGCCAAGGTTTTTGCAAGGATAGTTCTTAGAAATCTTGAACACCATCAGTTAGAAGCTTCCGTGTAGTTGTTTCACAGTTATCCGCATGGACTTGAACATTTCAAGGTCAGAACTTGAACATTTCGAGGTCTGAAGTTGGATAGAAGCAAGTATGCCTCAACAGATGCAGTTACTGCCAATTTCCGAAGATACTGCAAGGTTCTTGATGAATTGCAAATAATATGGAACTCTGGCCTGCAATATCATGTTTATTAGATATTTTGTCTGGTTTGGCTTCCTGTAATCATGATTTGGTAAGTATGATGTTACTATTGTTTTTTTTTTTTTCCTTATTTTGATTTATCATGTAAAAGGTGCTGGATGTTCTTAGGTAGAAGACCAGTATCTCAGTTTTGCACTATATTATTTTTTTAGTGAATGTAAAAGAGATTAGAAGAAATTTTTGCATAAACTTTTTATTTGTTCTACAGTACTTAGTTTGCAATATTTATAATTTGAAGATAATTTTGATTATAATATTTCCATCCTAAACAAGTGTTGAACATTACCTAAAAGCTCATTAAATTAATGTCAGGAACCGTTGCTTTTGGGGTTTGCTTGTCCTTTTTTCTATTGGCAGTATCCTTTGTAGTAACTTCTTATTGTTGTTATGGCTCTGTTTGTTTTTGAGTCATGGAAGAAAATCATGAAGGTATTGTATTGAAATATATTTTGTTCAAGCGAAGTTATATATATTTTGTCTGAATTACACTCAAATATAACAGGGAAGATTTAGGTTTTATTTGAGATAGCTTTCTCATTGTTTTCTGAAACAATTTTTTAGTACAAAAATTTTTAATTCAAAAAATTTTTTTTGGAACGAGATATCCATCTGCTGTCACCCCTTAAAGGGCGCTTGGTGGCGTGACTAATTCTCGGTTGACCTAGAAGAGGCACCCACCTCAAAAATTTCTTGGCCTACACTTGATTGGCCCCACTTAAGAGATGCTGTCATTCGAGAGGAACGGAGTACGGGTTGGGGGTTCCAATCATACTCGTCCATCAACTAAGCTAAGCACCGGTGGGTAAAATGAATTAAAAGTTTTTAATTAAAATATTATTTTAAAAATCATTAAGAAAGCTGTCAAAACTAAATCCGAAATTATGAGTATATATTTCCTTATATAAACAAAAGCTCCTTGTATAAATTCTCATTTGTGTTAAACAGTGCTGTGATGGTCCTTAAAGAAATTTCGTAAAAAAAAATGTAGGATTCATATTTTTAGTTGGTTTAATCAAAATAGAAAGATAGTTAGGGTTTTCTATGTTTTTGTGGGTGAGAAGTTAATTAGATGAACGAAATAGCAAAGCCATGCTTCATCTCATGAGATTTCGTAATCCTGTTCTGAAATCTTTATCGGCACGTTAGTACTGCGCCTTGCGTAGAAGCATGGCCAGGCTTGTAATTAGAGAGGAGGCAAAGTTGAGATAGCGTGCTGTGTTGGACGTGGTTGTCTTCTTTCAGTGGAGCAATTATCACGTCCGGTTATTGGACACGTTCAGAGATCAATAATCACGCGCCACATCACCTGGAACTCGATACTAAAATCCGAATTTTTAATTTTTTTGTCTGGACGTAATAATTATTCCTCTCAGTGAGGAATCCCATCTTCTATAATTCCAGCCAACTCCCAACAAAAACCTGGCTGTAAATATAGCCCTCTTAAGCCTTCACAGTGCAGTTGTTGATTGCACAGTTATAGGCCTTGGCAGTTACTATATGCTTTTAATTTTCTTGCATGTTTTGATGTTAAAGAAACTATAGTATCTGACACCCACCGCTGTTTGTCCGGATGGTGAAGAGCAGGCTAAGCAAAGCCCAAGTCCTGGCTAGAATCCCTTGGCAAGCAGTGAAAGTCTTAAGTATTGACTCGTGTAAATTGGTGTGGATTGCATGCTAGGTCGACCGGGATTTTCATTGGCGTAAAGACAGTGTTTCCTCGTCACAAAAAAAAAAAAACTATAGTATCTGACAATTCAAACATGTCCAATGAGAAAATGTATGAAATCTTACGGAGAAAACAAATGGATCAGCCCATGCCTAAGAAATGCAGGGGTACAACGAAATCTCAATTTAAGTGCAGTCCTACTATACCTCTTTGCACCCACAATACTTTTAAAGCACAATTTTGAATTTTCATGTGAGAGAATATGTATTTTTAAACTTTATGTGATATTTCAAATGACAATGGAACACACTTTTGTTAAACCCTACCAATTTTATTTTGCGGAGAGCTTTCATAAAAAAACTAGTAAGATTTAGGTTTCATTTGGGACGATTTTTTTACTGCTTTTTTAAAACAGAGTTTTTAGCATAAAAATTATGTTTTAAAAGTAATAAAAAAGCCGTCTCAAATGAAGTCTTAATGAGTATATTAATGGCCATACTTGTAAGACTTGATGTGGCTGCTTGATTTGTTGAGCATGTGAAATGGTTTAATGAAGATATTGATGATGTGTCCTATGAAAAACAAAAAGCTTGTAAGTCACATGTCATGCATTTGTGCTCTTACTTTGTCACTTTGAAGATGTAAAAGATATATATGAATTTTGTTTTTGGCGCCATGATTTCTTCTTTACTCTCATTATTTAGTATAGAATAATATTTAGTTATCCTACTTTAGAGTAGTTCTTCTATGTATTAAAGAGTGGTGCTTCATTATTAAGTATGTAATAGTATTTAGCTATCCTAATCATTATTAAGTATGGAATAGATCAAGTATATTTCATAGCTTGTCATCCCTTTTGAATCAATGTTTTTTTTCTAATAAGAACAATTGCATGCAAAACATTCCCTTTTATAGTTAGAAGATATAAATAATAATAATAATAATGTTAGTGGTGTTAGACATAAATTTGTTATATACGAAATTAAGCTTAAGGATGTTGACAATTATTCATAAGATATTTCCTGATTATATTTATTGATACCTATAAAAAAAATTTCAAAGTTATCGTCCAACTCTCCATTCTATAAAGCTAGAGATAGTAAAATACGAGGTTGGTAATTTTGTGTGTGTTACTAATATGATGATGTTGATGATGAATAATTATGTGTAGAAGCATTAAACTTATTTCATAAATAATAATAATAATATAACACATTAAGTTTGGTTTGAATTTATAATTTAATAGTCGACACATTCATAATTTCAAATAAATTTTAGGGAATTTTTTTTTTTTTTGGAAAAATCTAAGATCTAAGCAACAATACTTTAAATAAAAATTAATTTTTTTATTTATAATAGAGTCTTAGATTGAAAAATGATCATGAAAAATTAGAGCAGCTATCAAGAGATAAAGAGAGAGTAACCTAATAATGACGATGTTTATTAGTCAAGCTTACAACTTGATATATAAGCCTTCAAATGATTAAAGAAGTTGAAATCAATCCCAAATGAAGCTATAAAAAAAAACTTTCCACTATTTTGGGATTAATATTTTATTCCTACAAAATTCCCTAATTTGTTGCAAATCTATCAATTGATCAATTTGCATATAATAAAGACCTAGACGACCTTCATCATACTTGATAGCATCCCTCAAATCAAATTGAGTGATGGAGATAGAAGTAGAGCCTAATAAGATCTTCAAAGTATAGATGATATCACAATTGACTCAATATGATCTAGTGATGAGTAGAACTCTAGAATTCTCTAAGCTTGAGAACTCTTTCCACCAAGGGGTTACTTTTTTGAAAAAAGAATGAAAAGCAAAAGGTATGTAGTGCAAAATAGATTTTTTCATCTCATACTTCATACCCTAAAGCCATCACCGATTGCTAGTCATCGGCTACCGAGATCCACCAAATTTTTGCCACCACTCACAGCTTCTAACAACCACCACCCACATCAGACCCCCAACCACCATCACCAGCCTCCACTATCTATCGTCGTCAGCCGCTGCCAGCCACCACAATTATTTTACATTACATAGTCTTAATTTTACTTCAAGCTAAATAAAATAAAAAAAAATCTTGCATTCCTTTTAAGCTCATCAAAGTAATTTTTAAACATTTCGAATACACTACATTCCTTTTACACTGCATTCATTTTTACTTGACACTTCTTTTTTAGCAAATCGAAGAACCCCTAAAAGTCTCCATCTTTATTTAGTATATGATTTATTTATATATTCTTGATATGACATCTTGATCACTTCTATTAGAAAATCAGAACACTTTATCAAACAATCTAAATTAATTCTTTTACTACTTGACATCATTTTAGCATCTCTGTGCCAATGATTTTAGAATTAATCAATATTTAGTTAGTTAAATTGTTCTCATGAAGATGCTCATTTTGATTGTAAGCATATAAATTTCAAAAAATATTTGATCTCTCAAATAATTCTAAGAAAATTTTCATTATAATTTTAAAATGTGTAAACTATACTCATTTGAACTCAAATCATTCCATTTTTAGCTTTTTGAAATTTATCCGTTTGAATTATACTATCCTACCTATAAACCAATAAATGAACTGTATGATCTAAATATTTAGCTTAAGATTAAAAACTGTATTAAAATTTTCAATAAATTTAGGATGACGTCACCTTTATAATCGGAAAAAAAATAAAAAAAATGTAATTATGATGAGCTTCTTAAATATAATCAGGAAATTCGTATCTCTTTCATGTACGTGGCAGTTATATATTCCTTTAGCGGCTTTAACTCCCGCGTGGATCAAGCAGCATCTTTTTTATTTCTTCCAAGTTTCAAACCGACAGCTGGCGAAGTTTACTTATAAACACCAACCGCTTTCCCTAAGCGCGTTCAGATGTTAATAAAGACCTAGACGACCTTCATCATACTTGATAGCATCCCTCAAATCAAATTGAGTGATGGAGATAGAAGTAGAGCCTAATAAGATCTTCGAAGTATAGATGATATTACAATTGACTCAATATGATCTAGTGAAGAGAACAAAAATATACCTCACATGTTGGGAATGAAAAAAAAAAAAGATACATAAGATAATAACATTATTTTTTGTCATCCATTGGCTTTTGGCAGTGGCTATGGTGGGCATCCAGCAACGATAATAACATGTATTAGTGTTGACTGGTTTTGGAGATCAGTGTTGTCAGTCGATGATGATATTGCTCAGTGATGAGTAGAACTCTAGAATTCTCTAAGCTTGAGAACTCTTTCCACCAAGGGGTTACTTTTTTGAAAAAAGAATGAAAAGCAAAAGGTATGTAGTGCAAAATAAAATTTGGGTGTTTGGTTTGATGAAAATGAAACGCAGCATAAAATTATAGTAGATTTTTTCATGTCATACTTCATATTTGATGTATTATAAACTCACCTAATTTTCGCCAAGCTCTCTTTTCACCATAAGCCAACTAAGTTATTGTCACCTGCCACCACCGATTGCTAGTCATCTGCTACCGAGATCCACCAAATTTTTGCCACCACTCACAGCTTCTAACAACCACCACCCACATCAAACCCCCAACCACCATCACCAGCCTCCACTATCTATCGTCGTCGGCCGCTGCCAGCCACCACAATTATTTTACATTACATTGTCTTAATTTTACTTCAAGCTAAATAAAAAAAAATCTTGCATTCCTTTTAAGCTCATCCAAGTAATTTTTAAACATTTCGAATACACTACATTCCTTTTACACTGCATTCATTTTTACTTGACACTTCTTTTTTAGCAAATCGAAGAACCCCTAAAAGTCCCCATCTTTATTTTGTATATGATTTGTTTATATATTCGTCAGACGACATCTTGGTTACTTCTATTAAAAAATTAGAGCACTTTATCGAACAATCTAAATTAATTATTTGACTATTTGACATCTTTTCAGCATCTATGTGCCAATGATTTTAGAATTAATCAATATTTAGCTAATTAAATTCTTCTCATGAAGATGCTCATTTTGATTGTAAGCATATAAATTTCAAAAAATATTTGATCTCTCAAATAATCCTAAGAAAATTTTCATTATAATTTTAAAATGTGTAAATCATTCCATTTTTAGCTTTTTGAAATTATCCGTTTGAATCATACTATCTCACCTATAAACCATTAAATGAACTGTATGATCTAAATATTTAGCTTAAGATTAAAAACTTTATTAAATTTTGCATTAAATTTCGAATGACGTCACCTATAAAATCGGGAAAAAAAATTTCAAAAAAATTTAATTAAGATGACCCTCTTAAATATAATCAGGAAATTCGTATCTCTTTCATATACGTGGCAGTTATATATTCCTTTAGCGGCTTTAACTCCCGCGTGGATCAAGCAGCATCTTTTTTATTTCTTCCAAGTTTCAAACCGACAGCTGGCGAAGTTTACTTATAAACACCAACCGCTTTCCCTAAGCGCGTTCAGATGTTCATGTCTAAAGCATATAATTTAATTGTAAGTGAGTTGATCGAGCATGTTCCAGCTCAACTCACTTATGAGCTTGTGAATCTTATTTATTGAGAGCTTGTGCTTAAATTCGAGCTCGTTTATTAAACTAAATTGAGTACGAGTTTGATGAGACTCGGCTCTTGAGCTATCGAGTCAGCTCGAATCCCACCGGACCCACCTATTGCTTTGAAATCCCGTGAGCATGTTTTAAAATACCACTTTCGAATTCAAAATCTAGCGCATATTTTCTCAAAAAAGAAAAAATACCCCCAAGGAGTTCATGAACAAGTGTGCCTTTTCGAGGCAAACCACACGCGCGGTTGGAGTTCGTGGACTGCAAGAGGCGAAGGATTGCGAGTTGTGAGTTCACGGAAGGCAAACCAAACCGCGAAGATTACAGCGCGGGAGATGATAGTTCACTAAAGGAAGATCGGACCGCCGAAGGCTCGTCAAGCAGTTCAAGCTCGTTTATAGTGGAACGAGTTGAGTTCGAGCTCAAGAATGAGCTCATGAGTCGAGCTCGAGTTGGGTCTGACTCGAGCTCAACTCGACTCTGTTGACCACCTGCACTAAATACAAGCAAAATAAGGTGAAGTTGTGGGTGTGATTTATTTGAGTGCACAATTTCAGATAAGATCTTTTCCACTTAATCGGGCCCCGTCAGGCGACCCGCCCGAAGGCTATAAAACCCCCCTTTCCTTCTATTTCTCTTTCTCTCTCTCTGCGATTCTTGTTTGCTTGCAATCGACCGTGGAAACTAGAATCGCAAGAGAGCAAAAAGAAATGGGTAGCGATAGTGGAGTCTACACAGAGGAATCTGGCTTCGAAAGAGTCGACGATGTTAGCTCTTCGGATGTATCCGCCTCAGCCGATCATCTAGTCATTATGGTTCATGGAATCCTAGGAAGGTATTATGATTTTTTCAGTTTCGTTCTTCTTTGATCTTTTTTGCTTTACCGTAGAGGATAAGTAGAAGAATTTGACTGGTGCTAGACTGAATTCGGTGTTGTCCTGTTTTTATGTGTGGTCAAAACCCCGTTCTCCTTTTGTCCATTTTTAGTTCTTCTGAGAAGTCATACCTCTTAAGTTTTTTCTTATTTTCCTGAGATCTTCAATGTGGTTGGTCTTTCCGGTGAGTCGGCGACGTGTGTGTATTGTGAGACATTTGGCTACAGATGGATTCAAGTGTTTTTTTTTTCTGGGTATGCGGTAGTAAAATAACTATTTGATAATAATTTTATAATTCTCTCAGGATATGGATGAACATAGGTAGGGCAACTTGCTTGTCTTGACCTAGGAAAAAGAAATATTAAAAAAAATTGTTATATGGATAGGATACGATATGGATCAAGTGGGTGGGCGTTGTAATGATATGTTTTTTTATTGGTTCATTTAGATCTTTAGCATACAGGTTACTATGTAATTAATAATCGGAGTTATCTTTTAGTATAATATAAACTTTGGTCAAAGACGACGAAGAACTAGGACTTGATGTTGGAGGTGGAGATTGTTGGAATTTGTACCATGTAGCTTCGTAATTACTAATTGTTATAAATTTTGGGTTTCCTTCTCCATTCCGTTCTCTGCTGTTTATATACGTTTTATTTCACGGATGCTTCAATTCATTTATGTCTTTGTTATAGGTTCATGGTATGTCTACATTTCTAATTCTAATTCTTGTTGGCTGTTTTGTCGCTTGTATTTAAACTTACGAATGATTGACTTATAAGTTCTAACACTAAGAGTGTGATTAAGAACAACTTAGAAAATGTAACGAGGAAAATTTATCGCATCTATAAACATTCATTAATTTGAGATCTTATTCATATTATCATAGCATTATCGAAAATAACTTACATTTGTTATCATTGCACGCGGTCATGATACCATTTATGGTGCAATATTTTAGCGATTTTGTGTATAAGCTCGAATAAACTTATTAGTTTTTTTATTACATCTTTTGTGCACCGTTTGGGAATCCTGCTGATCATTTATTTTCTGGTTTTTGGGAGTTGTAGGACTTTTTGTGGGGGAACAATGGCGGTGTAAACAGATGGGTGAATTGTGCAGGAAGGAGTTGGGTGATGGGAGGGTGGCAGGCAGAGATTGGTTGGGGTGGTGATTCTTATTTTCGCTTTCGAATGTTTGTGGTTGATCAAACTATTTTAACTTTAAAATCAACGTGTGTGTGTTTACATGCTTGTTCCCGCTATTGGAATGCTTTTACTATTTCCTTGGCTGTTTTAACGATCCTTTGTTTTTTATTCTTCTAAAAACTCAACCTTTCTCTTTTCACCTTAAAAAACTTCCTTTCTGAATTTGATTTAATATGCAGCACTGATGACTGGAAGTTTGCTGCAAACCAGTTTGCGAAGGCTCTTAAAGACAAAGTGATTGTTCACTGTAAGGAAACTCTTACTGAGCACATGTATTGATATTTTCCCACTTTACTGTAGCTTAGTTTCAGCATTTCAAAATTAAAAAAATGATTTGTAGCAAAACTTCTCCATCCTGCTTTTGAAAACTTTATATCAGCAAACATCTTGCTGAATATGGAAACTATCCTATTCCCAGTAAGGAAAAATGGAATCTATTTTGTCAGTTTTTGTGAAGGGCTTAATCTGATACTGGTAATGTTCTCTTCTAGGGGGCCTCCAAACCCATGGCATCCCTAATGGAGATAAAGGGCAGTGACCAACTGACATAATATCACTAGTCAAAATTGGTAATTCAAGTTAGAAAAGAAATCTTCAATAAAATATTGAGATTCCAAAACATCAGAGGATAGATTACAATGCCATTAATAGATCATAATTTTTAGGGGTACGATCTATTAATCTTAAAAAAATGATTTACTGTCTAGGATGAAAAAAAAAAATCTATGTAGATGAAAATTTTATGATATTCTACTATAGATTATGAAAAAAATTTAAGGATCATGAGTATCATGCACTTGATAGAAAAATCCCCTTTAAAAGAAAGAAAGCTATATTGTGGACAAACTAATAAAATTTAAACGTGCTTTCGACAAATAATCAAATAATGATTAGTATAGTAAAAGGGGAAGAAGGAAGAAGAGTGGAAAGATATAAAAAAATGGAAATTACATGATTTTTCCAAGAGAGTCTATCCCAAAATTTTAACTCTTACATTTGACAAGGAGGGAAAGAGAAGAATCTGCATTTCTACAACAAGATTTTATTCAACCAAGATTAATTAATTTATATACCTCAGATCCTTATTTCTAGTGCTCAAATGGAAGTAAATTAAAATAAAAAAGTCATCAAAACGAGAAATTTTATAATTTAAAGGATTTGTTAAAGAACTGCAATCTCTAACTTCATTATGTCCTTGTTATACTTGTTACGGTCTCGGAAATCTAAGATAGTTATAGCTTTGGTAATTAGCCGCAAGGAACACTGACTCATATGTAGTCTAGAGGAAAGATTCTCAAAAATAGCAACATTACCTAAATAATATATGATAAGCTCCAAAACAACCCCAAAATAAGGTAACAACATTCTTAGGAGTAGATAACAATATGTATGTAAATACAAACGCCCATTTAAACAAACTTTCTACAATTAAAATTTCAAATTTCCTGCTAAAAAATTATATTTGCGCAAGCCCAAATTTCAAACCAGTCTTACTGACACAAACATTTACATTTCCAAGGACTACAGATTTTTGAGTTTTACATCAAATTTTGCCTACCTTGAAATATTTAGTACCAATAAATTATTTAGTTGATATTTCTCAATTTTAGTTGGGCATAATTGTTTAACTTCCTATAGAAATAACCATTAATTATCATATGCAGGCTTGTCTTGCCACTCCATAAGATACATTTGGTATCCTGTATTAGTATTGGAAATGATTTCATGATCAATTATAGCGTCAACTCAAGATTAATATGATTATTTGAAAGTTGTGTGGCTATTGGATTAGAAATTAGGAGGGGCCAAAAGGAAAAGAACCTAAGGCATTAGTTGACATGATATAAAGTCAGGTTAAATACAGTTAAAATTTAAAAATAAAAAAGCTTAAGTTCAAATTTAATGTTTAAACTTGCAAAAATTTAAATTCCAAATGACCATAATTCTAATATTTACAAAGTTTTAGATTCAGATCACCAACTACCGTTCTGGGGTTAATAAAACAGTGACTTAATGTTGTGTGCATGTTCATTAACTATTTTTAATCTTTTATGTCTATGCCTAGTAACTTATTAAGTTTTTGGGGATTTTCAGTATTAAAAAGTTTACTAAATCCTTACTACGCTTAACACTATCATTGTCAGGTCTTAAGTCCTGAATGAGAAAAGTGGAGGGTTGTGTTAGGTGGTTGACAGCCAGCGTAAAACTTATTGAATAATCATGACATGAATCCTTTAAAATATTGTGTTAATATTAGGGCGTCCCTTGGAAATGCGCACTGTATGGCCTGAATACAGCGACAAATGTTCAAGGGCCGCTACATTGGCGCACGGGTGCAGTGTTAAATAGGCAAAGGTTCCCACATCAAGGACAGATGTGGGCAAAGAAGCTAGTCCATGAAACTAAAATTACGATAAAAACTTGGAATATAGGCTCAATTAGAGAAAAATTAATGGAATTAATAGATATTATAATTTATAGGAAGATAAACATTCTGTGCATTCAAAAAACTAAATGGGTTGGAGAGAAGGCTAAGGATATTGATATTTTAGGATATAAACTATGGTATTCGGGTAGTAGTCGTACTAGAAATGGTGTAGGTTTGATTATAGATAAGAGTTTGTAGGATAATGTTATAAAAATTAATAGAATTGGAGATAGAATTATAACTTTAAAGATTGTTATTGATGTTAAGATTTTTAATATTATAAGTACTTATGCTTCTCAAGTAGGTTTGGATATTAGTTCAAATTAAAATTTTGAAATGACTTAGATGAATTAATACAAAAGATACCTCTTGAAGAAATATTTTTAGTGGAGGAGATTTAAATGGACATGTTGGTAGAGAGATAGATGATTTAAAAACATTCATGGTGGCCACGAGTTTGGAATAACAAATAAAGGTGGTAAGATCTTATTAGATTTTTCTTTAGCTGATGATTTTTTAATAGCTAATACCTTATTTAATAAAAGAGATGAACATCTTATCACTTATAAAAATGGATATAGAAAAATACAGATTGATTATTTTCTTATAAGAAAATTAGATCGTTTAGATTACAAAGATTGTAAAGTTATTTCAAGTGAAAATTTATGTACCCAACATCGATTATTAATTTTGGACTTTAAGATAAAAGGGATAGAAAATAAAAAATAAAGTAAAACAATATTCTAGGATTAGATGGGGACATTTAAAGAATATTAACAAAAATATTTTTTAGAGTAAAATTTTAGATCTTAAAATTTTTCTGTTTCTGTATGAGGATGTTAATATTATATGGAAAAAAGTGGATAGTGATATTAAGAATATTGCAAAAGATATGCTTGGAGTTTCGAAGGAAAAAGCTCTTAATAGTAAAAATAATTGGTGGTGGAATCCAAATGTGCAAAAAGATAAAAAAATAAAAAGATTTGTTATAAAAATTAGTTTAGATGTAAAAATTCTAATAATTGGGAAAGCTATAAATAGGCTCGTAAGAAATCTAAGAAAGCTATTTGCAATGCAAAGAGCTTAATCGTAAAGAGCTTAGCTTTTAATAATTTATATAATAGATTAGATACTAAGGAGGGAGAAAGATATATGTATAAGTTAGTCAAACAAAGAGATAGGAGTAGTAAGGATTTAGTTCAAGTGAAATGTATTAAGGATGAAGATCAAAAAATATTTTTCTTAGAAGATGATATTCAACAAAGGTTGATGAGATATTTTGCTAAACTTCTTAATGAAGAATATGAAAATACAATTGACTTTAGTAACTTTAGCACCCTAAATGAAAATAAAGATTTTTTTTTTCGGCGTATTAGTAAAACCAAGGTTAGAGAGGCTTTAAAGAAAATGAAGTGTAGAAAAGCTGTTGAACCTGATGATATTCCAATAGAGATGTGGAAATGCTTAGGAGATGAAGATTTTTTTGGCTTACTAAAATTTTTAATACTATTTTGTATACTGAAAAGATGTCAGATGAGTGGAGAATGAGCGTGTTAATTCTTTTTTTTTTTAAGAATAAAGGTGATGCACAGGAGGGTGTGAATTATAGAGGAATCAAGTTAATGTGTCGTAGTTTAAAACTATAGCAGCGGGTTATGGAGTGTAGGTTGCGGATGAAACTAATGCTTCACAAAATCAATTTGGATTCATGTCGGGTAGGTCTACTATGAAAGCCATACATTTATTGAGAGGTTTGATGGAGAAATATAGAGAGAGTAAGGAGGATCTACATATAATGTTTATTGATTTAGAGAAAGCATATGATAAAGTTTCAAGAGAAGTGCTATGGAGAGTTCTTGAAAAGAAAGGAGTTAATAACTCTTATATTCAAATCATTAAAGATATGTATGCATGATCTATTACTTGTGTTCAAACACATGGTGGTTTGACCAAGCATTTTCCTATTTCGGTTGGATTACATCAAGGATCAGCCTTAAGCCCATATCTTTTTGCTTTAGTCATGGATGTTCTCACTAGACATTTGCAAGAAGATGTACCTTGGTGTATGTTTTTTGCTGATGATATTCTTCTTGTTGATAAGACTAGAGAGGGAGTTGAAGGCAAACTTGAATTATGGAGGTCAACTTTAGAGTCTAAAGGTTTTCGCTTGAGTAGATCTAAAACTGAATATATTGAGTGTAATTTTAGTAGCAATTGACCTAGTGATGGGATTGTGACTTTGGGCGATCAAATCATTAATAAGATTACACGTTTTAGATATATTGGATTTATTGTTCAGAGTGATGGTGAAATAGATGGGGATATTATCAACAGAATTCAAGTTGGATGGTTGAAGTGGAGGAATACATAGGACTTGTTGTGCGATAGAAAAGTCCCCCTCAAACTTAAGGGAAAATTCTATAAGATGGTGGTGAGAGCTGCAATGCTTTATGGCACCGAATGTTGGCCATTAAAAGAGAAGCTGATACTAAGTTAAGTGTTGCAGAAATGAGGATGTTTAGGTGGATGAGTGGCTTTACCCTTAGAGATAGGAAAAAAATGAGCATATACGTGAAGAGGTTAGAGTACCTCTAGTGGAAGATAAGATTAGAGAGAGTCGACTTAGATGGTTTGGTCACATTAAACAGAGGCCTTCCGATGACCCGGTTAGGAAAGTTGAGGTATTAGATTTGACTTATGTTAAGAAAGGTAGAGGTAGACCTAAAAAGACTTGGCTAAAAAATATTAGAAATGATCTTTTTTTATTAGATTTAAATGAGAATTTGACTTTTAATAGGATACAATAGAGAAAAAGGATTCATGTAGCCAACCCCACGTAGTGGGACAAAGGCTTGTTGTTGTTGTTGTACTAACTATGACACTCACGTGTATAATTTCTTACTAATTAAGTTTTTCTACATTTTATTTATTTTTTATTTATTTTTGCTTAGGCTATTATTTTCTTTTGTTTGCTTGTATATGTTTATATTATTACAGGTAGTGAGCGCAACATGAACAAACTTACTTTGGATGGTGTTGATGTTATGGGTGAAAGATTAGCTGAAGAGGTTGGTCTGTAATTTAGATAATGAAATGAGAATTTACATTTATGAGTGTTAAACTTCGATGAGCACTATTTTGCTACTTGGTTAGAATTTTTCTTATAAATTTGAAAGAATGAAGTGAGGTCCTACTCTTATGTAAATTATGGCTGATGAGGCTTTTTAAATAGGTTGTTGATCTCATCAGTAAAAGACCAGGACTTAAGAAAATTTCTTTTATTGCGCACTCTGTGGGTGGATTGGTTGCAAGATACACAATAGGAATGTTATACAGAACAGTAGAAAAATCCCAAGTGAATCTTGCAGATGGTGCCCATGGTGTGAATGCTAAAGGAACAATATGTGGACTAAAAGCAATGAATTTCATAACTGTTGCTACACCTCATTTGGGCTCTAGGGGAAATAAACAGGTAATAGTTAATTTTTATTTCTGCTTTACATTGTTTATTTCTGTTATATGCTTTATTGAAATGGTAAAAGAATGATATGACAATTCACGTTTGTTTAATAGAGGTGATATTTTGGTGCAACTTTTGACAATGAGATAAGCAGCACATGTTCTTGTGTGCTTTTGAATCTCGTTCGTTTTGATACAATCTATCATGTTAAGAAATCTTATGGAATGGATTTATTTTTAGAGAAAATGAATCAAAATCTTTAAAAAAGAATAAAAAAACTCCCACGTCTTTAAGGAGTTGAGTTACCAAAATGATTCTTTAATATAGTTAGAGACTATTTTGATCTTTCACCAAGAGTCAAGGGAGTATTTTGATCCTTTTTTCTTATTTTTAATTAACCAAAAAGTGCCTAGAGAAAATGCTAACTTTTGGCAGTTCTCATGCCCTCAAACTTGAAGAAAAGTGAGTGCTACCCATCTACTAGACATGAATTAATTTCCATATTAATTACCCTTTCTGAATAATGGCTAGATATCTGTATAATTAATTAATACGACTGTGAATATTTATCTCTTAGGAATATAATTAATTTCTCTCTTATCATAACAAGTTTGGTTGAGAAAATTACTCAATAATTCTCTTCTATGATATCTGTTTTTCTCCGTATAATAAGTAGAAGCCTTTAGAAGAGGGCAAATAATTTGTTCGGTTCTATTTTATTTTCTATTAGATATGAATTTTATTGTTTATCGAACTTATCATAATGGTTATGATTGTTATGATCCAGGCTCCGGAAAATTTCAAATCACTCATCAAGTCATATTTTTTGAACATTAATTTATCTTGTTTACTCATGTTGAATCTCTGCTAGAGATTTTTGTTCTTTTAAATTTTGATGAATTTAATTCTACTCCTAAAAGATTCGAACTTAAATTTATCCACTAAAGAAAACATACAACTTTGCAACTTTCCTAGCCAAATCTGCCACCTAAGCATATGCAAATTGATCCGCCACCTGAGCCTACTAGCTGGAATTATGCCACTGCTCCTAGATATTCTTCTAGAATCTTTCATTCTTCAAATTCTTATTGATTTCACACTGCATTGGTCTCCATTCTCAATCCTTTATTCTATTTAGAGGCTAAAGAATTTCGAGCTCTTAAGGATAATCATACATGAGAAATTTTTTAGTGTTTTCTGAATGTGAGACGCAAAAGCTGCAAATGGGCCCACTTGATCAAGCTTTGCATTGATGGTGCCCTTGGCTGCTGTAAGGAAAACTTAGTTGTCTTTCATAACAAGCAAAATATGATGTTTAATACAAAAAATATTTTCATCTTATAGCCAAAAAAAAATATAGTACGAATGGTCATCTCAATTGCTGCTTCACAAGGATAGCCACTTCACTAAATGGAAGTGAAAAATGCCTTCCTTTATTGTGATCTAAAGGAAGAAATTTACATGAATCTTCCACCTATTGTTTCTACCTCGTCTCCTATGGAAGTATGTAGGCTGAAATGTTCGAAGTGTGGATTGAAATTGGCACTTATGTATTGTGACGCCCCCACTTGTACCGACGTGTCAAATTCTTAAGAATTTGCACCAATGTTCAAAAATTATGGAAAATTGTATATTTAAATGACTATAATAGATATGTTATGATTAAGGCGTTTTGTGATTTGGACTTATAAGGACTCATGAAAAAATTTATTTTACTCCGTCAAAATACTAGTCATTACATGTATGGTTTGAAAATTTTTCAGTCAACATTATTTTATATGTTTTAAACAAAGTCAAATTAATCTTTTTTATTTTCTTACAAGACATCTAGTAAGATTATTGTTCTCGAAGTTTATGTTGATGACATCATGATTGCTCAGGAAAATGTAGCTCTGGTTAGCTGTTTGTGATGACATCAGGACACATTTTAAATATTTTGGTGTTTTCACCTCTCAAATTTGGATGTTCACACTAATTCCACTATTATTTTTCTAAACCAATATATGAATACAAAGGATTTGATTATTTATGCTGCCCTCCAAAACACTTCTCCTAGAGATACTTTATTACAAGTAAACGGAAATTATTGCAATTAGGAAGGTGATTTTTTATCCTGCCATATTTAGACAATTGGTAATCAGCTTAAAATATTTTTCATTTACATTTGGCTGTTATTTTTCTTTTCATTTAATATTTTTTAGGACTTCGAGCCATGGTTTGTTCTTTCCACTCGGTTCTTCTCTTCATCTTGTGGGATTTAGCGATGAGGATTGGGTTTGATGTTTGGCGGTCTTTCATCTGTTGGTGTATGTTTCTTAGTAGTTTTTTCATCTCATATAAGAGTAAAAGCAGTCTCTTCTAAGTAATCAAGTGAGTCCAAATATCACATAATGTTTGCCGCATGTTTAGAGAACATTCATCTTTATGGACTTCAATTTGTTGTAGCAATCATAAGATATGTAGACAAACCAATGCCATAGAAATCATTGTAGATGTGATTTATCATAAGTGAACAAAACATGTTGAAGTTAATTCAATTTGGTAAATGTTTTATACTAATATTATTTATCTTCCTCACATCTCTACAAACCATTAGATTGCCAACATATTTATGAAAGTGATGACATGACAACTATATTTGTTCCATGTAGACAAATTGATGCTTCTTGACAAACTAGCATAGATTTGGAGAGGAGATGTCATTGAGATATGAATTAATTGATGTATTAATTATTCACTGCAAATTATGATCAGAAATCTATGTAATTAATTAGTATAACTATGAAGATTTAGCTCTTAGGTATATAATTAATTATTTTATTTTATTATAAAGTTGGTTGAGAAATTTGCTTAATTGTTGCCTTTGTGATTCTTATTCTTCTCTGGACGACCCTCCTAGAGGACAGCTAACAATTTGTGTATCCTTTTTTGTTGTCATCATATTCTTGTAGCTTCAAATTCTACTATATTTTTGCAAGCAAGCTGGCATTCACAATTATTATTTGTTGTTGGCCGAGATATGATGTCGAATGTTGACTAATGAAAAAAATGAAAATGAATGAAACAAAATAATGAAAAGGAAAATCAAATAGATGTGTCTCTCCACGAACTAATCAACCTATTGTTGATCGGTCCACTAACAACAATTAAGAGAGAAATAATACAAATCTTCATTGCCATAACTTCTTTTCAACAATCAAGTCTATAAGAAGAAGAAGAAGAAAAAAGGAAAAACTTATGCTCTCTATCTTCCTTGTGTCTTGCCCTTGTCGACGAGCAGCTTTGGACTGTACCCAGGTCGCTCGTGTAAATCTCCTTCGCCTCCTTCCAATCCTCTGTAACCGGACATCTCCACTACCGAGCCACACGAGCGCTTCCGACATCCGACGTCTGACTGAGCACCCCACGCACGGTATTGAACCGTGCAGACGCCTGTCCGATCCCTTCTTGCAAACAATCCCATACCAGCCCTGCCTCTTGCCTCCAGCTTTCTCTTCCACATGCTCCGACCATACTGAACCTGCATGAGTGCCCACACACTAGCCCGCGCGGTCACCGCTATGCTTATCTGACGCCCTAGTCTATGCGTAAGACCTGCTCGAGCAGTCCGCCTCCTATCTCTTGTGCATAAATCACTTCAAGTGGTTATTTATCTTTACTTAAAATATAATATGTCAGGTTGTCGAGCTTTGACAGTGATCTTAATTGTCATCTAATCTGTTCAAGAAGAATTATTCTAATTAATCTTGTATAAAATTATCAATTGTAAAGAAGGTACACCAATTTGAAGAGCAGTGCCGTGATTTTTAATCCAGACGAATGGTTTTAATTTGTGAAGACATGCGCCACGATTTTTAATCCGGGTGGATGATTTTAAAATTTAAAGACTCGCACCGTGATTTTTAATCGAGGCAGATGATTTTAATTTTTTGTTTTTCATCTCTGGGCATATGAATTTGATAAATGGAAGACCTCGTGTCGTCTACCTTAGGTCCGGGAGAGAAGAAACAATGACAAATGCCATACAGACCTCCCCGCGAGAGAAGGGGATGCTGGGAGGCTGCTGAAATTGTTCCAGAAAATCATTGGAGAACTATTGGAGTTTTAATTGATTAATTCAATTAATTAACCCGAGAATCATTAATTTGAATTAATTTATTACTTTAATTAAATAATGAATCAAAAATTAATTAATTAAAATGATGATTTAGTTGAAATTAATTAATTAAAAATAATTAGTTAATTGCAATTAACTAATTAAAATAATTAAGTAATTAAAATTAATTAATTGAAAAATAATTGATTAATTAAAAATAATTGATTAATTGAAAATTAGTTTTCACTAATTAACCTGTACAAACAACTCTGAACACTGCTCTTCAAACCATGTACAAATCAGCCGCAAACACTTCTCCAAACCCCTGTACAAACAACTCTCAACACTGTGTTATACTGGTCCAACCGGTCCAAGACCGGCTCACAGACAGAGGCGGAAGAGTTCCGCCTCTCCTGTACGCATCGACCGAACCGCCATTTCAATGGAGCTGTTTAGGAAGGTTTTTTGAGGGAGTTAGGAGGGAAATTTGAATGTAAGGACTGTTTAGAGATTTCCTTTTGGATTGTATGCAGTAAATAGTGTGTTTTCTTAGGGTTATGGCATATTGAATTTGGCTGAAATTTGAGATCTCTTATGTTTAGGTTTTTGAGCTCTAGCGGCGTCTAGAGATTTGGGAGAGATAGATCCTCCTTTCGAATAGAGGATCAATTGTATATTGTTATTTTTCTTCCATTAGTTTGATTATCGCAATAAAATTACTATTTTTCTAGTTTTTCCTTTGGATTTGTAGACTGTTCTCATTGATATCATCAAGATAGTTAGGTTTTACTTGGGAATTTCTAGTATTTCCTATCACACTGCTCTCCAAACCCTCTACAAATAGCACTCAAACTCAGCACTCTCCAAATAACACTCAAACTCAACACCCTCCATTGGACCGGTCCAGCTGGTCCATACAGGACCGGCCCACGTGTAATGTCGGGACTTCTCTGCCTCCAGTACGGGCCGCTCAAACTGCATAGCCAAAATCTTTGATTAGTAAGGATTTAGGAGTTGAGGGAAATTTGAATGTAGGGACTATTTAGATATTTCTTTTTTGATTGTATGCATTCAATAGTTTGTTTTCCTAGGGTTAGGGCATCTTGAATTTGGCTGAAATTTGAGATTTCTCGTAGGTTTTGGGCTCTAGCGGTGTTTAGAGAATTGGGAGAGAGAAATGCTCCTCTCGAATAGAGGATCAATTGTATCTTGGTATTTTCCGTTTACATTTCATCAAATAATAGAAATTATCTTTTGTTTTTTCTAGTTTTGTGTAGATTTTTTTTGGAGAATTCTCGCTTTTTTCAAAGATTGATAGGAATTACTTGAGATCTACAAGTATTTCCTATCAGTATTTTTTATTAACCCAAAGTTGTTCCCACTGCCTGTTAACCAGTAGGTGCAGCACCGTTATATTTAGCGGTGAGTCAGTCTTCAGTCTTCACTAACTTAGCTGCTAATTGGGTTGATATGGGACACTTCTTAGGACTCTGTTGGATGCTTATTATGAGAAATTGTTCGACCAATATGTAATTTTTATGTGATAACTCGTACTTGTCCATTGGTCACTGAGAACGAACTATATCATAGTTTGAAAGATTCATGGGGCAGCGTGCATATGTACCTATTTGTGCAAGAGCTTAATTGCAACTATTTCCTTGAACTCGAGTTTTTCAGAAGTTGTAATTAGTTTTTTAATGAAGGAATGGCTTATGGCATTAAAAATAAAACATGCCGCATCTTGAATGTCTTGTTATCACGTACTTCTATTGTGCTAAATTTATTCTCTTGATGCAGGTTCCCTTTCTTTTTGGCCTCACAGTTGTAGAGAAAGTTGCTTCTTTAATTATTCACTTGATATTTAGAAGAACTGGTAGGCATCTGTTTCTTACTGATAATGATGCCCAGAAACCTCCACTTCTACAGCGCATGGTGGAGGATTGTGAGCTCCAGTTCATGTAAGTAAATCTTTTCTTTTTGCCTTCTGCGTGTCTATGGACTTTTTATGCAAACAAAGCGGATGATAATGAACTTTTATAGGTCTGCATTGGAAGCATTTGAGCGTCGCGTTGCTTATTCAAATGTTGGACATGATCGTATCCTTTAGAGTATTATACTTTGATTCTACTTTTATTCTCTGCATTAGTTTTTCTTTTTTTTTTTTCCAATCTGTAATGCTATCTGATTGTATAGTTTTATCTTCAAATTATTGATCTACTTTTTATAGTTAGTTAGTTATTGTGCACATTCAGGCAAGGGCAGATCCACCTTATGCCCCCCCCACCCCAAAAAAAAAAAAGTTTTTAAAAGACTATGGTCTTTAAGCAATTGCCCAACATAATCAAAGATGAACCAAATAGAAAGATAAATAGTAAAGAAAATTTAAAAATATCCTTACAACCAAAATTTATTCCAGGGGCGCTGCCTCCGAAAACCCCTGCAGGGGCGCTTCCCTGGAACACCCACCCTGAAAATCAAGCCTGAATCCACCCCTGCATTCAAGTCCGTCAATATGAGAACTTACCCTCCTAAAAGATTGTTAGATGAGTCAAGTGGTATCTCAAGTCTTTTAGGAGTGAAGTGATCCGGCTAAGCTTACCTGAAATTTTGATTTTTTTTTTTTTTTTCGTTGTTCGTTCACATTTAAACAACTGCATCTGATTTTATATTGAACATTCCAAAGAAATATAAATCAGTGCTTGAGAAGTTTGGAAAGATTACAAAAATGTCTCTCCTTCTATAACTGTTTGCTAGGCGGGCATGATTGTGTAACCCTTGTTTAAATTGCTTCAATGGCGTCACATGTTTTTCAAAGCTACTTATAAATCAGATATCGTTGGCTGGAGAACTTCATCAATCAGACGTAATTCTGAATTACCAAAGGTAATACTTTTCTTAGGTATCCATCTGTAGGATAGCTTTTCCATCTAACTATCCAAGAATTGGTTTCTATTGATGAATTTATTTGATCTTGTTACATCTTTTTTCTTCTTTAGTGGGATAAATCTGTAAACGAGAAATATCCGCACATTGTCTATGAAGAATATACAAAAGGAAGTACTGCCGAAAGCTGTTCACACGATACTATTGAAGAAAACAACAATGATATGCTAGAAGGTAAATTTTCTGTTGTTGTTAGCTTATTTCAATGATCTTCATATGGCTATTTATGTCCGACTCGTGCAGCTTACGTTCATAATGCAAATTTGTATAAGTGAGGGTGCTCTTTCCACTTTTTCTAATCTTTTAGTTAGATCCTTCTTTTTCACTTCTTTATGGCTGATAACATTCATGTAGATAATTTACTTTCGAGTGCTGCTATCTAAATTTAAAATTTCTAAATGAATCTGTTGACCTCCCTGCTATAGCCAACAGTATATATATATATATATACCTAAATCATTAGCTGAGGCGGAGCTCTGCCGCAAATCTTGAGGGCAATTCTCTCTCTCTCTCAGTAGAAATGATATTTCTTTATTAGATTTAAACGAGAATTTGATTTTTAACAGGACACAATGGAGAAAAAGCATTCTTGTAGCCAATCCCATTATTCCCATGTAGTGGGACAAAGACTTGATGTTGTCTTCATCGTCTCTCTCTCTCTCTCTCTCTCTCTCTCTCTCTCTCTCTCTCTCTCTCTCTCTTTCTGACATCCACATCGCCCAACCAAAAAATAGGAAAACAGAACTAAAAATATGTGGATTAATCATTCAAACATAAAGATTAAATGAGAAATAAGCATTTGAAGTTTCCAGAATTTATTTTGTGAACATATGTTTTTCAATCACAAATTACCTCTTTGAAGCAACCTCGGGATCAAATTTGCGATCGGCATAACAAATTTACCTCTTTGAAGCAACCTCGGGAATTTATAATCATAATCTAAACAAAATGAACAGCACACACCATGAACTCATATCTGCACTCTTTTTCCCTCCAGAATTCTTACATGCCTAAACCGATGCCAATTTGTATTTTATATTTCCCCACTTGCAGAGAAGTTGGTTGTAGGTCTTACTCGCTTGTCATGGGAAAGGGTCGATGTAAGCTTTCACAGCAGCAAGCAGAGGTTTGCTGCACATAGTACAATTCAGGTATCGGATTCGGATATTAGAAGAAATGGTTATTTTTAAGTGACATTTCCCTCTTATAATTTGTCTGACGCTGAGCAGGTTAAGGATACCTTTATGCACTCAGAAGGTGCCGATGTTATACAGCATATGATTGATCATTTCCTTATATGAGTTCTCATTCTGCTATTTATTTCGGATTCTGATATTTGAAGAATCTGGCAATTTGGTAATGATGAATTGCAGCTCGGAATTCTTAACAAGGTCAGAGTATACTTCATGAGGGGATAGGAAAAGCTCACCTCCATATTTAGGTATGTCAGATAGTTTTTTATTATTGTTTTTTATTTATCTTTTTACAAATTTTGTGATCCCAACCTTTGTACGAGTGACATGTAGCCTGAAATGAGCATCTTGCGAAACTATGTAATGAAAATTGTAATTCAAATGAAATCATATTGTATATTATCATTATTATTATAAATATCATGTCATAAATATTTGGGTCTCCATTTAACAATTTGTGCATTGACGAATTGAAGAATTACATGAAAATTTTAATTTTCGAATTAAAAAATTGCTTTAAGAAGTAAGAAAATCTCTCAAATGAATCCAAATGTTACCAAAACTGTATTTGGGGTCATTAAGGCTTCGTTTGGGACGGTTTTTTTACTGCTTTTTAAAACGGAGTTTTTGTACAAAATTTTTTATTTTTAGTACAAAGCAATAAAAAAGCCGTCCCAAAATTTGGTAGATTCTACCCAACTCTTTGATTTGGTAGATTCTTAAGAGTATCAAAATTTAACATGATTTCTACCATGAACCACCTTCATCATTGCCTATGGTCACATGCAGGTTTGTTCACAAGACTATCGCCAATTTGAATTTGCAAATTTTATTAAATCCTATACCCATGGGTTTAAGATGCTGCTATTCAAGAATGAAAAAATTATTCTGTGCGGGTTTCGAACGCCGTCCAGAGACTAATTAAAATACACCATGTCACCCATTTGCTCAATACCACGGCTCAGTATTACGAGGTACCGCTCGGTGCCGCAGCTCGATACTGCTGATGTGACTACACCTAATTTAACTCCAGACGTAGAGGTGCATCCGGCATCCGTACAGAATAATTTCTCTAAAGAATGAGCCATTATAGTTAAAGTGGTCATATGGAGCAACTTCTAATCAAGTTGAAGCATTAGCTGTAAATAAATCTAGGAACAACTCTCTTCTTCATCAGAATGCCCTGTCGGCCTATAAATACCTAAGCACAGAGTATTTCCCTAAACCCTAAAACATACAATAATTAAAACTATAAGAATAAAGAGTTTGACGTAGTCTTTGCTAATATTATTTTTAGACTATCCCAGGTCGCTTGTATAAATATGCACATGTATATACAAATTTCTTGCTATAGTTACACAAGATAAATGTGGATAAAAGGATACAGAACTCATCCTATTCATTCAATAAATGGCGAAAGAATAGGCTCATTGTCCTGTAATCCTGTTTTGAACATTGCGATATCCCAAGCTGATGTAAACCAGCTAAGTAAATGTAGAGGCTTAGGAGAAGGATCTTCTTTTAGGTAGGGCACCATGTATTTCTTCATATCGCTCCGTAGAATTCCTAGATGATTTCCAGGCACACTAACAAATTTGACACGTCCAGCTTCATCCAAAGCTCTCAAACCAATCCAGTCTTCTATGTAAAGCCTGGTCTCCATTATCGAAGTGAAGAAAAACAAATAAGAAAAAGATTAAAGATAAATAAATATAAATCAGAAGCTTCATTGTTAGTGCTGTATGATTAATTCAAGTTAAATTGCAGTTATACCTCTTGCGGAGATAGAACTGGATTGAAGGCACCATTGGGATAATAGCCAAACCAAGATGTTTCCCGAGGAATCAGGACATTGTCTTGCTCATTCTGACAAGAATTTAGAAGCAAAGTAGCAAAATTCTATACTACAACAACAACAAACCTTTATCCCATTATGTGGGGTTGGCTGCATGAATCCTTTACTCTATTGTGTCTTGTTAAGAGTTAAATTCTCATCTAAGGCTTCATTTGGGAGGGCTTTTTTACTGCTTCTTAAAGCAGTTTTTTAGTACAAGCATTTTAATTTTTATGCTAAAAAGCTTTGCTTTAAGAAGCAGCAAGAAAGTTGTCTCAAACGAAGCCTAAATTTAATAAAGAAATGTCATTTCTAATATTTTATAACCAAATTTTTTTAGGTCTACCTCTACCTTTCTTAACATAATTCTATGAAGACAAAATACTTTGAAAACAAGTAAATAGGACTAGTCAATGAATACCATGATGAGAACTAAATTATTCAATCGACTGAATCTTTCTTTATAAGTGGCATTCTTCTCGTCTGGTTTTTCATTGTTGAGCTTGGGAAGGAAGCGGCACTTTTCCAGATAATTAGATATATCCTGGAGATGACAAACACGTTAGGATCAGATTTCAAGCAGCACAAGACTTTTGCAATTGCCCAGCTAAATAAAGATGAGATATTAATAAGACTGACGATCTCTGAACAATTTTTTTTTTTTTTTTTTTATGGTTAATTTTCGACCACCTACATTAAATTCTATAGAAGAAAGGATACAAGTCCAAAATTGCGGTTATACTCCAGCCATGAAAATTCAATGCACGCAACTAATTTTCTGTATAGCAAAAAATATTTGGTTTGTATTCATTGAGAAACGGCCAGCACGAAATCAGTTCTCTCCAAAGAAAGGTTGGAAGCAAGTTTGTTAAAAGTTCCCTAGACCAATTGCTCAATGCCTAATAAAGCAGTACAGTTTCTTCTTTTTTAAAAAATATTTTAGCATTGAATGACATTTTTATTTAAAATAAATATGATATTCATTAACAACTATCATTAGTTATTTGGTTTTAGAAAAAAAATTAAAATGTGATTTTAAATGAATAAAATTTGTTTAGTCTTCTCTAATTTCATTAATTAAAATTTTCATATTTCTCTAATTCATGATACTTTTTCTATAATTTGTACTTAATTTTGTTAAAATTTTAAGTCATTTATTAAATACTCTATGTTTTACAATTATTTTTAAATGTATATTATATTTATTTAAGTTATGAGCACTCTCATCAATAGAAGCATCTTTGTGCTTTGCGCATTGAAATAGAAAAAAAAAAAAAAAAACTTGTGTATTGCATTGTACTTTGAAATCACTGACTAGAAGCTTGAACATAAAAGGAGCATGGCCTCGCATTAGGAGACAGTTCAGAGTCAATCTAACCTATGAGCCAACTTGGGCTCAACTTAATAGACCGCTCGTGAGTCAAACTTGATAGACTAATGATTCAAGCTCAAGATAGAGAGTCAAACCTAAGTTGACACATCAATCGATTTGTTTTAAAAAATTAAATATAAATACAATTAAAATATAATAAAATTCAATGGTTTATTTATAAGTTATTATAAAATTTTTAAAATTAACTCACATTTGATTATCTCTAGTTATTTCTTATTATTTATGATCTAATTTGTCATTCTTTTTATCAATTTATTAAGTAGCTAATTAAATTATAATCATTTTCTCTTTTTTATAATAAATGAGTTGGCATATGAACTAATTCAAACTTGTAGAATTGCCCTCAAGATCAAGGTCAAACTCACACTAGAAGTGGCTCGTATTAGACTCAACTCATTTATGTTAGCGTGCCTAAAGAATTAGATCACCAATCATAAAGAAAATTGATACGTAAACAATCCCAAGGGTGTGTCAATGTATCAGTATTTGGCAAGTGACTGGTCTTGGGATTGGAGGGCACATTCACAAAATCACAAGGAATGACACGCTCATTGGTGGGGTCAAGCAGGATTAATTATTCTGTGTGGATACAGAATGTCGTCCGGAGAACAACCAGAATGCGCCACATCACCCCTTTGCTCGTTACCGCCACTTGGTACTACTCGATACCGCTCGGTATTGCGGCTCAGTAACACTGACGTGACACATTCTGGTTAGTCTCCGGACAACGTTCTGCGCCCGGCCTCCGCACAGAATAATTTCTCCAACGATAGGACAAATAGAGAGGAAAAAAAAAGGAATTTAGAAAATCTATTGGCAAATATAACAAAATGCTCACAAATAATTTTTGAAAATCCTGGAAAATGCCAACAAGATAAGTAATGCTTACTGTAGGAATTTTGAGATAGCCACTAGGAGCAAGGTGTTCCTGCAGTTCAGAAGTTAAAAAATAGGAATAATCAACACATTTGGTTCGTTCTAAATGCCTAGAAAAATCATTATAAGAAGGATTGCATTGAGTGATCAAATTGATTTTTAAGGGCTAAAAAGATTAAAAGAGACAAACCTGCATAAAATCAGTGTATATCTCTGTTTTAATTAGTTCATCCGCGATTAAGCAGAAAATTCCTGACTGCAAATGAGAAGCATTGCTAAATAAATCGTATAGCAGAAGATTACATAAAGGCAAAGCCATCAACAATTTTACAGATAAAATAAGGGATCGGAACAATATTGACTTGGAAATTTTGGCAGTTAAAGGTGTAACAACAAGATTACCTACCCCACAAAGTGGCACGGAAGCTGTACCAGCAGGTGTTCCTGCAGTTCAGAAGTTAAAAAATAGGAATAATCAACACATTTGGTTCGTTCTAAATGCCTAGAAAAATCATTATAAGAAGGATTGCATTGAGTGATCAAATTGATTTTTTAAGGGCTAAAAAGATTAAAAGAGACAAACCTGCATAAAATCAGTGTATATCTCTGTTTTAATTAGTTCATCCGCGATTAAGCAGAAAATTCCTGACTGCAAAAGAGAAACATTGCTAAATAAATCTTATAGCAGAAGATTACATAACGGCAAAACCATCAACAATTTTACGGATAAAATAAGGGATCGGAAGAACAATATTGACTTGGAAATTTTGGCAGTTAAAGGTGCAACAACAAGAGTACCTATCCCACAAAGTGGCACGGAAGCTGTACCAGCAAGAAACGAAATTGTTAACCTGTTGGTAAAGCTTAAAAGCATAAGACGATTTCATATTTTCTACTGACTAACATGATTGTTCAAAGGCTAAAATAGTACAAAAGAATAATAAGAAAAAATACATGAAAAGAAGAAAATAATATTTTCTTATGGATAAAAAGAATGAGAAGAGTTTAAACTTTAGCAATACTTTTGGGGTACATTTGTTGCAACTACAACTGACCTTAAATTTGATTATAAAATTGTTGTAGAAAAAGCTCCTATCTAAAGCTATATAATTTTTTTTTTAAAATATAGACAGAATTATAAAATTTTAGATTGAAAAATTATAAGTTGAAAAGTTAATTGTCAATTATTAGAGTGACTGCAATTTGAAAAAAAAAAAAAAAACTACTTAAAAGCTATCCCAAATAGACGTTTGGCGTATGTTTGAGTAAAAACTCCATCTACATAGATATAGATGTTCCATAATCAGCAAAGAAATTTGGCAATTTGAGGTACATTTGGTGCGACTACAGTTCCCTTGGTTATAAAATTGTTGTAGGAAAAGCTACTATGTAAAGCTATAATGTAATTTTTTCTATTATCATGGAATAGATCTATGTAGCTTATAAATAACTGATCAAATTGGCAATATTATTCTTCATTCAATCATTCTTTATGCGATCTAGAGTGTGCATGGTTGCAATTACACGATCCCTTAATTATCACTAGTTGCTCCTTCAACACAAATAAAAATGATCTTCTAGTAAGAAGAATTAGCATCAAAAGGGCATTTGATACAGCAAGACACATCAGGTTTTGAGTTTCTTACAGGTGGTGCTCCATCACAAAACTCAACTATCCCTCGTCCTATCAAGTTTCCCTGAAGAAAGATATAGAGGAAACTTTAATTAGCATCGTCAAGGCACAGGAGCATCGAACGAAGGAAAATCCTCACTTAAAAGGCCACAAGACAATTCAATAGAAAGAAAAAAAGAAAGAAAAAAGTCAGTAAACCACATAATTATCAGAAGGGGTGGAAATAAGAGCTAGATTGCATTATTGAAAACCAAACATAGATCGGGTGTCACTGGCAAATATTGAAAACCAAACATGGAAATAAGTGATTCATGTAAGGACCACTATGTAGTTAGAGTTAGTAGAAATGAAAGTTAAACTTGTACATGATAAACAAATGACATATTCAGATAGCTTAGAACAGATTGCCTATGTTCATCCAATTAAATGACGATATACAGATTCTAGAACCTCCAGGTTCATATTCAGGGTCTCCTACTAATATACTTGAAGAGTTTAAGGAAGGCATAGAGAATTTTAAGTTAGTGCATGGAGAGCTTTGTAACTTCTGATAGGATTTTTAAAAAAACAATCAAAGGTACTGGAATAAACTGATAAACGCAAGCATCCATAAGTTAAACTACACAAGCAAATTTCAAGTAAAGATGAAAATGGTTACAATAAAAAAGTTCAACTCTCACCTGTGAAAGGCCAACAATGTTGAAACCCCCACCTAGTTCTTTCATCTTCTTTACCTGTCGATCAAGTAATGCATTTTGACATGATATGACAAACCCCCGAGCATGATATGGAGGTAAAGGGAAGTTGTTCCATAAAATGATGTTACCTTTTCACAGGCAAAATCCGTCTGCAAACACACAGAATACTGAAGTGATAACTAACAGCAGAACAAAATAGATAAGAGAAACATCACCACAATATTTTACAGAAACTTAACCTGTTGATCAAGTGGCACCACCCATGAGTCCCATGAACCTTTTCCATTCTCCCTGTGAAATTGTTAAAATTCTCAAGCATCCGGCTCTAAAAATCCTTAATCAAAGCCGATAAGTACCAAACACAATCTCCATCAATTAACTAAGACAATGACCTAATCCAATTCAGCCGGCATTCTTATCAAAAGAAAAAGTAAGTGGAACACGCATATAAAAATTTCTTCAAGCTTCAACATACTTTTGTCATTTGATACTAATTCAGTCGGTAATAAACATAAAATTTTACGAAACACAAGATGAATCCTCAGTCCATTCTGTCAATAGAGCTCACCAAGCAACAACTTCTCAGACTTTTTACCTGAATACTTACTACATAAAATTTATATATAAAAAAAAAACCCATAACGAGAAGCTTGACGTATACGACAGTGATTTTATCCTTGTCATATCTTGCAGCCTATTCCAGTCAATTAAAATTCAAATACAAATTCCCAGCAAGTCATAAAACAAGAACGCGATCCATCTTTCTAACCTGTCAACATGACATACAAAATTTGAAACCTCACGAAACCAAAAAATTACATCCACATTCGCAACGAAACACATCAAATGAATAAATAAATAAATCGAAAAGACGATGGACAAAGGTACCCACAGGCAGTAACCTTGAGAACCAGACCATTCACTTAGTAGCTCAGTGAACTGCTTAACACCTCGATTACGACATGCATCCCCAATTCCTGCTCAAAAAATCATCAAGTAAAACCCTAACGAAGCATAAATCCGCTACAAATCCCCAGCAATCAGACACGGAGCAAGTCGAGCTCGGTGAAAAATCATAAACTAACCGTGCAAGACAATGAACGGAATAGAGAAAGAGGCTGGAAGAAAGACGGAGACCGTCGCTAGCATGAAGACGATCTTCAACAGCAACGCGTCCATTCTTCCGTCTTCCTACGTGCAATCTAGGGTTAGGTTCCTCTAAATAACTCTAGCCGGGGTTCTCCGAAAAGATCCACCGTGGTTAAGGAAGAGGTTTGGTGCACGTGAATGGAAGGGCCCCTTCGAGGTAGAAGCTCTGCGTGAGAATTTCCAGCTGCGTTTAGGAGGGAAGGCCGTAGTCACGAAGCTCTGGCTATTTCAAATATCAATTGATTTTATAGCCCTACCATCGAATATTACAGCCTTATTCACAAATAAAATGTATTAGCTTATTAGAGATTTAGATTTTGTTTGGGATAATTTTTTTATTATTTTTTAAAAGAATATTTTAGTAAAAAAATAAAATTTTTATTTTAAAAAAATTATTTTAAGAAGTTATAAAAAAGACATTACAAACGAAGTCTTAAACGAGTCAGAGCTCTTATTTTATCGAGCCACTTTCTTTGGAATAACCTACTTATTATTTTTTAAAGTTAATTTTTAGTATAAACTTTTGTAGGTTTTATTTGTGACGGTTTTTTTACTGTTTCTTAAAGCAATTTTGTAGTACCAAAATTTTAATTTTTGTATAAAAAAAGTAAAAACTACTTTAAAAAGCATTAAGAAAGTCATCACAAACAATGCTTTAATTTATATTTAGCTCGAGCATGATAAGAAATTTTGAGACTAACTTGTTTTGGACTTCAATTTTTTATTTTGAATTTAGACAAAAAATAATTAAATATGCTAGTATATATATCAATGTATTATTTAATATTAATTAAACCGACTAAAAAAACGGAAGAGCCATGCAGTGCCAAGCTCAAACTAGAGCTCGAACTTAAACTCTAGCTTGAACTCATGGCTCAATAAGCTTGTTAGAAAATTGAGTTCCAAGAGGCTCACTAGCTAGCTTGACTCACTTGCGCCTCTAAGAGATGGAAGCTTGGTCTCTATTTTTTATTTTATCTTATTTTTGTAATTTATAAATGCTAATTATAAAATACCTTTAAACCATGAAATTAAAGTGGGATTCATAATATCTTATTTTACAAAACTCATATAATATAATTTGGTTGGATGAAAAAGTACTCAAAATGAAAGGTTTTGAAAGTATTAGTATTTGGCTTGATGGATGTAATGTAAATCATTTTAATTTAATTTTTAGGTAAACTAAACTCACTCAGTTTTAAGCGAAAATCATTTACATCGTAAGCAAGCTCGCTTAATCGTTGCCACCAGCCACCGCCTACCAGTGCCACCCAACCTGGGCGCCCACCACAGCCACCCACCTCCACCAGCCGCCATCACTCACCGGCCAACACCATTTTTAAACTTTACACCAAATTAATTTTACTTCAAATCAAATAAAAAAAATATTTACCTATATTTATTTTACATTCATACAAATAACTTTAAAATATTTTTTATACTATATTTTTTACACTATATTTCTTTTTTATTCAACCAAATAATTTATGAGTCAAAAACTAACAACAAATATTAATAAATGCACGACAATTCAATGCCTGAATAGAGAAAAATCTTCCCTACCTCAATTTGGTAGGTAGTGGCTTCAGCATTAAATTCTATGTAGATATTTTCATAAATAAAATATTTTTCTAAATGAAGTTATTGGAAAGTGGATATATAAATTAAAAAAGTAAATATATATTTTTATATAAATTAAAATTATTTAAAAAATAAATAAAGAACAAAATGATTATTGTGGAAAAAGCAATTAGACAATAATTATTAAATGATAATCATTGTGGAAAAAGTTATTTATTATTTAGATGATTACAGATATTTATAAAGATGATTATAAAAATATTATAAAGAAAATAATTTTTTTTAAAAAATGGGTATAGAAAGTAAATTCTTAACACAAATTTATTGAAATTTGTAAAAATAATATTGATTGAACAAAAATTATGATTGCAATCTGAAAAATAAAATATAAAAAAAATTATTCCAAATAAAACCTAAATTAAAATTTCATTAAAGTCGTCATTTTGTGTAGTAATTTTGGAATGGCTCCAACAATTTTTAATTTGTTATTATTTATTTGATTTTTTTTAGACATTTTGATTTTTATACGGGGTTGGCAGAGAATTTTTTAGTAAAGTTCGTTATTTATAAGTTTGCTTTTTCTAAGAATTAAGGTTAGTTCCTCCCAACTTCTTAATTAGATATTCCCCGTTACTCTTAATGGTCAGTACCATATTGAGCGAAATAGTAGAAAAATCAAGAAATGTTAATGGAAAGAATTGAAATTGGTGAAATTTGATACAAAATCATATTACTTAAGGACGCCAATTTTTATTTTTTTTAATCAATTCTTCTTTTTCGCCCATATCATTGTTGCTAATGTGATGTCTTCACAATCTCCATCTCATTGTTATTAGGCTATCTCCAAGTGAACATCGTACCTGTATTTGGAGTTCGTGAATGCATGGCTCCCATCAAATGGTAAAACGCACTCCATTGTTGTGTTTGTGAACAGTGTGGCGTCCATATTGGGGTCTCACCGTTCACAAAGTCTTTTTTTTTTTTGCGGAAATACAGAAAACGGAGGCGGAGCACGTCGAGTTCAATTGAGAAAGAATATATACGGAATATTCTTTTTTGGTATTAAGAAATAAAGCTCGGTTGGAAATGAATTAATGTATTTTGAAGTGTTGCTGTATTTTGGAGTGGAAAATGAGTTTTTTACTTGGAGATGGTCTTAGGTGTTTTTTGGATGGCCACCTGCTTTAAAATTAAAACAAAAAACAAAACAAAATCTCAACATAAAGCCATGATCTCTCTGACCACCAATTTTTTTTTGGGAAAAATGGGGGCAAAGCCCGTATATTAATCACCAATGATTACAATAGCAAAATTACAAGTATAGAAGAACTATACCAGCAGAACCCAAAAACCAATAAAAGAAAATACAAAAGAACTAAAGGACTCAGAATTAGAACAACATCTCAAGGCATCAAGCCCAATCATATTCGAAAAAACCACGAAAGCCACAGAGACACTGGTTGCCAAATAAGCTGGCCATCACAGAGTCCAAAACGCAATTCCTGGTTGCCATAAGACCCTCCAAGGAGAAGTTAGAGATGTATCTCATTAGCATCATCGTCCCAAAAACCTGCCACAGCGATAAATCAGCAAAGAAGCAGCTGAACAAAATGGTCCCAAACATGCAATAAACAAGACTATTCCATGCAGCACCAAGCATCAGGCCAACAATACAGCAATTGACCATAACAAACATAGATGAATATTTCAGGTTCCCAGCATCCAATTCCAAAGAGAACTCAGCAATATAGCACCGTCCACCATACCACCAACCGACGAAATCAAGCCAGAATTTCCAAAAACACATGTTTAAATACTGTCATAGTGAGTTCAGTTCCTAACTTTTAGCCTTGATAGCAAGAATGATAACATTTTTTAATTCCGTGGGGCTTCTCCAAGAACCAGCAAATCTCCTATTGTTTCTTTCCCTCCAAAGATGGTAAACCAAAGCAGCCAAAGAAAGAAAACAAAAATTTCATTCATTTCTGCCATGACATCTCAAATTCCCCAAGTGATCAAAAGATTGTAAGAGATTAGGCCGAAGATAAAAAAGCAGATAAAGATGGGAATAACGCAGTGAGAATAGAAAAAGAGAAATCACACTAAAAAAAAAGATGAGAATGCGTCTCTAAAAGCCCAGTGCAAAAGGAACAAGCAGAAGACACTTGGATACCCTTCAAAAGTAGATTATCAACTGTTTTTAATTTTCCTAACACCGCCATCCAAGCATAGCAAGCATAACGGAGAGCATAACCTTTGTGCCAAATGAATTTACTCCACACCACATTCTCTAAGTCATCATATAGGAAATCCTTAAAATTCCTGGGCTTAGGATCAGATAAGCCCTTCCATCTAAGAACAGTTTGCTCTTCCACAATTTCAGTATCAAAATAACATTTTTAACATGAACAGGAACCTCATCTGGAATTGCCCATTGGTTGTGCAACAAAGCATCTTTAACCCTCAAATGAGCAACAGCAGTGGAATAAAAAACATCAGCAACAGGTTTATGATCACACCAAGGATCCCAAAGAAAGGAAAGGTTGCCATTCTGGTTAACAGAAAATGAGATAACATAAGTGATGCAGGTGGCTTTACGGCAGAACAATTTCCAAAATTTGGAAGCATTGGGAGGATGCAACTTCCAAGCAGACTCATATTTTTCTATGTACCAGGTTCCCAACAAAGTGACCTGGTTATACATTCTAAAAAGGAAAGAGCAAGCCATATTATGATGCATAGCATCAAAAGAAGGTACACCCAAACCGCCTTTGATTTTTGGTTGGGTAACAGAATTCCAGGCAATCATATGTAATTTCTTCTCCAAGATGTTACCAAAGAGAAGTAACTTAGAGCACATACGATAAATCCATTTGCAACAGTTTTTAGGTATAATTGCCCCCCGAATCCAATAAGCAATAATATTGACAATAGTGAATTTCAGATATTGTAATCTACATGCAAAAGAAAGGAACTTGACTTCCCAACCCGCAAGTAGAGTAGAAAGTCTACTCAGCAGGGGTTGGAAGTGAGAAAAATTGAGTTTGCTAGTGGAAATAGGAAGCCCCAAGTAGGTAAAGTAGTTATCTTCACAGGCAATACCAAGGCAGGTAGAGATTTGCTGGGCCAAAGGAAAATCTTTTGCAAAAATAATAGAGCTCTTGGCTGGGTTAACGAGAAGACCCGAAGCAGCCCCAAAACAGTGAAGAGATTTTTTCAAATTGTTGGAATTATCCACAGTGGCTAAACCAAACACCAATAAATCATCAACGTCCATAAGATGACTGCACCTAAAATTCTTATGAATAAGCCCAAAGATAGGTGTTTGCTCGCTAGAATCAAGGCAGTGAGAAAGAGCATCCATAGTGATGCAAAAGAGCAAAGGAGACAACGGGCAACCTTGCCTTAACCTGGAAGAAGAATTAAAAAAATCCTCCAAGGCACCATTAAGGTTAATAGAGAAGTGCACAGCAGTGATACAACCTTGAATCCACTTAATGAAGCAATCCGGAAAACCTTTTTGCTACCAATTTACCGCTATCTTTTTCAGAAGTGTTTACTATTTTTTCATAAAGATTTGTGTATTTAATAAGAAAGTTTTGTGATCTCTTTTTTGGATAA